TACATTTGGTGAAATTTTTGAGGAGAAGCTCGATTGGTAACACCAACCGTTCAGAAATTCATACAATAGTTGTCGCCTAAGAATTGTCATTTCAGTCACACACATAAAATCGCACTCACACCCGGTGTGTTATTTCTGAACTCGCCCCAGTATGTCAAAGCTGCAAAAAAGTCAAATTTCAACTGTCAATATTTTCAAAACTGTTGAACTTAGATATAGTGGCTGAGTTCGTTTTTGTCATCTTTTTCGTCGATTTGCTCCGAAATTTTGACAGGCACGTGACTAGATAAGACAGGTTCAATTTACAAATCACGTGCCTGTCAAAATTTCTGCGTAAATCGACGAAAAAGATGACAAAAACGAACTCGGCTAGTGTATATCACATGAAATCTGCTCAGAACTTTTCATTAAAAAGAAATATAATTATTTTTTTGTTTTTAAAACCTTCTGCAACGCAACACCCTGTATGGAAGAAACTATGTTTTCTCAGAACTATTTTTCGAGCTATACACCTTTTCTCTTTACATTTTTTCTATATACAGTGGCACAAAACAGTTAAAGTGGGTGGGAAAATATAAGAAATGACCCTGTGCCCATCGGGTATAAAATACCTGCTTATTGCGAAGGAATAGTATCACAGACTTTTTTTGTCCTATGTCTACTCGAATTTGGCACTTATTTAGCTCATCATTTTATTTCTGCGGCAGTACTGGTGTACAGGGTGTCCACATTTATAGGCTCAAATTTCAATAAGTACTATTAGGGATTTTTTTAGGAAAAATCTGATAGCAAATTCTTGTTTAGAATGGTCTAAAACCCAACTGTACTAATTTTTGTTTCAATACGATACAGGGTGATGACATCAAATTTTCACAATTTTATGAATCAAACTGCAAAAATGTTATATTTTAAGACAAGCGTACTATAAATTTTGGTTAAGGATGTTCTAAAACTATGTTGTATCAAGTTTTGTTGCTGTCAAGTCCTCAAAATATGAAATTTTTCCGGTTAGGTCTATTAAATTTTGAAAATTTGTTGTAATCACCCTGCATCAAATCGGAACAAAAATTAGTACATATGGGTTTTAGACCATTCTAAACAAGAATCTGCTATCAAATTTTTTCTAAAGAAATCCCTAATAGTACTTATTGAATTTTGAGCCTATAAATGTGGACACCCTGTACACCAGTACAGCCGCAGAAATAAAATTATGAGCCAAATAAGTGCCAAATTCGAGTAGACATAAGACAAAAAAAAAATGAATTGAATCGGTTGAAAAATAAAAATTTTAGAAGGGTGGTCAGTCCTTAAGCGGGACACACTGTATACTGCATCAATAACCAAAATCAATTGTCCCATCAAAAAACAACCGAAAGTCAGTGGCGCACCTAGGGGGGGGGGGCATCGGGCCAGGACCCCCCCCAGGCCGCCTCCTGCGAAACTTAATTTTTACGTAGGTATAAAAAAATGTGGCCAATTCAGGGCGTGGTACCCTGACGCCTCAATTTTTTTTTTAGATTTTCAGTCACAAGACACAACCTATGTAAGGCCCCCCTCCCCCAAACATATTTTCTGGGTGCGCCACTGTTCCTGGAAAAAAATCAAAAATCCGGCCATAATCTGTATTTTCAAAATATCACTACTAGTGTCTCTTAGGGATTAAACAATCGTAGCTCCGATATCTTTGTTTTTTTTCCAATCAACTTTTGGTATGTTAAAAGTAAAAGGCTTCTGGATATATAAAAAAATTCTTCATTCTCCAAAGTTTCCCAGATTTCTAGGAAAAACATCAAAATTCAGGCCATAGTCTGTATTGTAAAAATATCAGTTAGTGTCTCTGTCGAATTAAAAAAATCGTAACTCCGCTATCTTTGTTTTTTTTTCCAATCAAATTTTAGTATGTTGAAGCTCATCAAAAGCTTCTGGATATTTCAAAAAGTTCTTCATTTTCCAAAGTTTCCCAGATTTCCTGGACAGTGACGCACCCAGGGGGTGCGTCACTGCGTCAGACAGGGCCCCTTCCCAGGCCGCCCTTCCAAAACTGTATTCTTACGTATAAAAAAAAAAGAGGCAAATTTTAGGCGTGGCACCTTGACAGCTCAATTTTTTTTTAGATTTTCAGTCACAAGCCACAACCCATGTAGGCCCCCCCCCAAACATATTTTCTGGGTGCGCCACTGAGGCAGTCAGAATCACCCGATCATTAACAAACAGTTGAAATAATCTCAAAAGCCTGGAAGAAAATAGTACTATTCAAAAGAATATATAGGGTATTCCATTTAAAACGAACAGGGGCGCCCGCAGAAAAATATGTAGGGGGGGTCAAAATCAATTGAATAATTTTTTTATGTGTAAAAAGGGACTTCAGTCTAAATTATTATTTTAGAAGCAGAATTAGAATTTTAAATGCAACATTTGCAAAGCAAAATTTAAAAAAAAGGCAGTTTGAAGAGACACAAACTAACACACTTGGACGAGAAGAATTTTAAATGCAACATATGCAATGCAAAATTTAAAGAAAAACTTAAATTAGGAAAATTTAAACAAATAGATAATTTGAAAAGTCACATATCAACAGACTTCGATAGTTATCTTTTTGAATTTGACATTTGTAAAGCAAAATTCAAAGGAAAAGATTGTTTAAAGAGACACAAACTAACACAGTCTGATATTTATTTTTTTAAATGTGACACATGCAATGCAAAATTTGAACACAAACGTAGTTTGAGAAGCCACATATTAACAAACTTGGATGAGGATAATTTCAAATGTAACATTTGCAATGCAAAATTGAAAAGAGAAGGCGATTTGAAGGAACACATATTGATATACTTGGATATTTAATTTTTTTGAATGGGACATTTGCAAATCAAAATTTAAACGGAAACGCAATTTGAAGATACACAAACTAACACATTCGGGTATTTATCCATTTGAATGTGACACTTGCAAGGCAAAATTTGAAGAAAAGTAATTTACAAAGGCACATTTCAACACACTCGGATATTTATCCTTTTGAATGTGACACTTGCAAATCAAAATTTAAATGGGAAGCCGATTTAAAGATTCACAAACTAACACATTCGGATATTTATCCATTTGAATGTGACACTTGCAATGCAAAATTTAAGCAAAAACATAATTTGAAAAGCCACATGTTAACACACAGATTGTTTATTATTTGATTCACTTAATAGTGACATGTGTTTAGCTCCGGAATCACTCCGGAACTCAGCCACAAAATTCACCAGTTCCGGAATAAGGAAAGGGTGACAGTTTATCAATATGCAAATCGGTACACTGAGATATAGATATTAAATTAACTTATTTACTTCTTATAAATAGCTAAAATCTCAGGCATGGTAGAGGAAGATCCAAAACTTAGGCTTAAGCATTGAATATAAAAAAAAAGATTCAGAAATCGGTAAATCGTTACATAATTGTTTCGGAATGATGTTTTTGGAGAATCAAGAAGTTAGCGATTTCTTTGTTTTCGAGTTGTTAGCTATTCAGCCGAATCACGAAGTTCTAGTTAAATTTTCAGCTTATCTCATCGACACATGGCACATGCCTCGATAGACCTGGATAAGAAAACAAATGCCTGTGAATCTTTCCATAGTCATTTTGGTAGATCTTTTTATTTTGCGCATCAAAATACATATTTACACTTTTTTAGATTTATTGACTCATATGCAATGCGAAATCTGTCAACATCATAAGGTAAGTTTTATGGGAAGTAGGTTGGGTTTCATGATTTGGTCGAATTCAAAGGTAGGATTACTGCAGCTACCTGGTTTTTGACCGAATTCAAGTTTGCCCGTTTCGCTCATACGAGCATCATCGGACCTACAATATAATATATATAAAAAATAATTAAAATTTAAGAAATGTCCAGGGGGGGTCGAGTGACCCCCCCTGACCCTCCCTGTGGGCGCCCTTGAAAACGAAACAGGCTAAATCAGATATATCTGATGCCACGTTTATTTTTTTTTAAATCGCTCTGACACGTAATTTGATTTTTAAAGGGGGAAGTTTTCTGCAACCAGATTTAGCACTTCAACTTTAACCCTCTAGGCGGGGTGGGACTAATCCTTAGTATTTCAAATGGAGCAAGGGTTCGAGTGACACCTCTTCTAAAAGAGCATTCAATTCTCTTCCATTTGATGTCATCTGAAAGAAAATTGAACGGTCTTCTAAAACAGATATCACTCGACCCCCTGTTCCATTTGGAACGGTAAGGGTTGGTCCTGCCCCCTCCCTAGAGGGTCAAGTTAGTGCGAGCGATTTAAAAATAAAATAAAAATGCAATCAGATATTTAGCCTGTTTCGTTTTAAATGGTATACCCTGTATTTTTTAGGCCTCAGAAGTTACTCGAAATGGTTCAACTTTGAGAAAACCGCAAGTCTCGATAATTGATTGGTGTCAACAAAATCACACTAAATTTTCCAACTAAATTATTCCCCAAGTCATTCGCACCATATTACCTCAATTATCTCAGAATTACCAAAACTGTCGAACTGAGAAATTACCTAACGAGACGAAATTCTAATCAAAGGCACGATAAAGTGAATGGGCTCTTTCGCTAATTCCTGAAATTGGCATAGGTAATTGGATAAAGCAACTAAAAATAGAATTTTCTCCACCCTATATAATACTTGCAGTCCTTGTTGGGGAAATAATTACAAAAGAGAACTCTTTAATTAGAAACGCGGAATTTATCCGGACTACGTCACAATTTAAATTTTTCTGAGTGACTTTTTTCATAGATTTCGACTCCAAATCTCAGAATAGTTAAGTGGAGCTTGGGGGGTCCCCAATGATCAGTGGGACACAAAATTTCGACATAAAATTTTCAACATTTTATTATTTTAGTACTAAGGTCTCTCTTATGAATTGTATTTTTCAAAACTTTGAAAGATCATAACTTTTTTTCTATTAGAGATAGAAAGCTAAAATTTTCAACGGATTGGATAATTAAACAAACTAATTTTTGTTTCAGAAAAAAAATCCCCAATCGTATTCCATCCAGGTTCGTGCGGGCCTGGCAAATGCGTAGGAGAAACTGCATGCAAACAGCACCCCAACAACACCTACACGTGTATTTGTACGCACACGTCCGATCCGCCCACGGCCAACGGAGTTTGTCCTAGAAAAATAGGTAAGCATTTTTAATTCACTTTATAATCCTACGACGTGGCATAATTTAGGTATTGTAACAACGAGACAAATCTCTTATTTAAGACACCGTCCTTATTTTGTAGAATGAATAATAAGGTTTGAATGAACTGTAGGTAGGTGTTGAAGATAAGTACAGCGGTACTGTTTGTTAAAAAGATATAAAATCTTATTACCAAGTTGTTGATTGTTATTAGGAAGAAGATTTAGGTAAGGGTTTTACCGGGAGATTCTTCCAATTTTTTAGGATGCCCTTTGGCCTAACCAACGCCCCTAGCAATTTGGATAATGTTTTGGGTGCTAATCTCCGGCCTGAGGTTGTGGTTCATTTAATCTCATCAGTGACAGTTTGTGGAGTACCTTTACTTCAAGAAAGCTAGAAATAACCTTATATTTTGCATAAATTTGACTGAAAATAAAAAAATCAAAGAGGTTTTTAAAAACTGACTAAGCACAACGTCTATGCGACGGTAAATAAAACCGTAGTTATACTTTATGGACCAACGCGACGTCGGTGACCTTCCTTTAGTGGGACGTTGTGAATTGTGACTTTCTAGTCGTCGATTCGACGTTAGCAAGTATACAAGAATCTAAAATTGGAATTTTTTTGATTCATCTCAATCAGTAAACTGCCATACATTAAACGTCTTAGTTTTCCAGCATTCTATGCGCAATTTCTAAAATTCATTCATATGATACAATAATATCTACAATCAAACCGATTCATATCGTAGTTTATGGCGCCAATACTAATAATCATAAAATAAGCAAAGAAAGAGATACCTACTGGCAACGTCAAATTATAGTTCGCCTTACGAGTCTAGCACTACAACGTCTGAAGGGCAAAGGGCGCCTGTCATAGGCGTGCGCGCAGCGTTTTTAAATATTACTTTCTCCTTATAAATGTAGGTGTGTAACATAGATAAATATTAAGGTATTTTCTATTGGAAGTCAAATAGGCAATATTGCAATTTTTTTATCCGCATTCTTTCCATAGTGCTAGACTCGTAAGGCGAACTTTACTTCCAAATGTTTGGACGTTATACCGACTTAAATTTATACCTATACTTCATTTTACCTAAATTGGTCGTATGAACGTCGTCTTTTGACTTCAGGTCACGAGAACCAACGTAGGCCCAACGTCTAAATTAGACTTGGGAGTGTGTCTTCTTGCTAAAATTTCACCATAAACTGAAGCAAAGTTTCATTTTCTGCAATACCTCTTGGAATAAGTAATTTTTCAAGGTATTTTAAACATAACATAATCCAAAAAAAAATTTGTTTAAAAATAAAGTCTCCTACATAAGAATTCAACTTGATTTGTATTTTTTCAAAACAAGTCTGACTCTGCAAAATGGTAAATAACGCCTTTTTAAATCCGTATTAGTAATCAACTCCCAAAACGGATTATGTTCAAAATCCCTTGTCAAGTCTCATTAAGTCGCTATAACCAAATTCTTATTCTTGTTTTCCTTTAGCATTTAAAATCCCATTGTGCCCACAATCAAAACAAAGCTCATCCTGATGCCCCCCCGAGAGAGACTCGAAATAAACTGCTCGAATCCTGAATTGTACTGAAATTTTGTCTAGACGATTTGATTTTTGTGGCAATATTTATTTTATTGGCTTTTCTTTGGTTGTATTTGCGATGTAAAATGGAATTTTTACTTTTTGATCTCTGAAGTGAATCCCTAGGTTGGTAACTGTACAGAATATTGAAAACGAAAGAAATTTGATGTGTTTTTTAAAACATAAAATGCTTACTTCAATATTCAAAAGTTTGCTATTAATTTTTCGTTAAATTAATTTGAAACTTTAGTCTCCAAACTTGATGTATTCTACCCTTCAAATTACAAAGTTTATCTTATCATGAGGATAAAAAAGCAAATATGGGGAAATGGAAATGATGCTAGAATTATTAATTAAAAAGAGATTATTCAAAATTGTGTTGAGCTCCCATGCCTAAACGATTTTAATTTTGATTAATCCCTTCATTTTTCGAGTTGTATGTTTCAAAATTACAAAAATCTTCAAGCTATAACTCCCCGCAGTCAAATCCAATAACAATAATGAGAATACATTTTTTTTTCTCTATTGTAATTTGTAATTCCTTACCTATAAGGCACAGTGTGGGTGTCGATATGCATCTAACTTGGGCCGATCATTAGTTTTGATACAATATTTCTTTTGTGAGTGATAGTTATGGGTGTTTTGGGAAGTGCGTACATTGAATGAATCGTGTTTGTGTGGCCTTTTACGGACCATAATGGGCGTAAAAAAAACATTCTATAGACAGCTTTTACAAATTTTCTTTTTAGATGTGTTGTTTCCTACTGAGCTGATTTTTCTGGACGATGATTTACAACTAATTTAATACGATTCGTTATAGGATAAGGATTTAGTAAGATTGCTGCTCCTAGAAAAGCTTCTTAATCTTCAAATTCTATTCAATTGATGGTTCCAAAATCTTCCACATTCTTCTTATATGGTATCATTGAGCTCATCTTCAACACCTACAGCGTATTTATTACTCATCAAGTGCGAATTACTGCTCAAAAAGTAATATTTTCCAGGCTTTATCGATATTTTGAGATAGAAAAGTGAAATTTTCAGCGATTCTTATCCTATAGTCTATATTTCGAAAGCTGGTATAATCAAACTATCACCTCATCCACTCTTCAAAGGATTTGGGGGATTGAAATAATTGGTCGACTATGATTGATTATACCAGCTTACTAAAAAATATACTATAGTAAGGGAAATAAATCCTGAGAAAATCTGGGTGGGAAATTTCTCGTACCTCACCCTGTATATGCAAGGTGTTCTCTGATGTTTTACCCAGGTGATAACTTCGGAACGCGTCATCGAATGTTCCACTTTGTAATTTTCTATCATTTCCTTTAACAAAACCTTAGCAAATATGGCATTGCCTATTTTGTAATTTAATTTCCTAACGAAAAATTATATAATACCATAGATAATACCATCAGTTACATTAAGGATTCTAAAGTTGCTGTCACTTGACCGATATTTAAGCGAAAGTAAAATTGAATGACGCATGTAGAAGCGGCATAAAAAATTAACTACCCAGATCCTCAAAATATCAATTATATTGGATGACGCGTTCCGAAGTTATCATCTAGGTAAAATTTCTTGGGACACCGTGTATACAGGGTGATTCTACGTAACCCGTGCATTAGAAGTTTTTGAGTTTGCAGAGGAATTCAGTTCAAATTTGGTTTGGAGCCATAATTAATTGTTCCGGTGTTACCTAAAATATTTTCAGATCTTCGATCTTCGACTATACTGGGTGTACCAGATAAGTACTAACTTTCCTATTTCAAACAGAAACATGCATTCTGTAGGCCTTGCAATTTTGAGTTTGTACCACCCAATTTTTTTTAACTTATCTCTAATAGTTTATAACATAAATGTCATTTTTTGTTTCAAATTGCCGCTGCAGTTGTTTAGGAAAAACAAGCTTTCTTGGAAACCGTTCCAAAATAATAAACCAAATTTAGAAGATAATTAGCTGAAAGTTTAGGCTAACTCCTGATGTGTCATTAGCGCTCCCATTTCACACCATATGTGTGCAGGCGACCTACAAACATTGGAATCAATAATGGTCAAAATGTCAATATTGTTAAACGTCACCTATTTTCAAGAAAATTGAATTTTAGATGGCGTTACTTACTTAAGGATTGCCTATACCTAACTCGATTCGTTATTGATAAAAATAAAGAAATCGCGAAAACCCGCAACTGTCCACTCCTTCCTTGATGTGTCAAAGGCGGTGTATTTTGACTGCCTATAGTCAGAAAAAGTGGACTTTTCTATGGAAAACTCCATAACGAATCAAGTTAGGTATAGGGAATGCTTGTAACGCCAGGTGAAATTCAATTTTCTTTCGAATGGTGCGAAAAAACATGGTAAGTGGCATTAAAAAAAAATGACTTTCTGACCATTATTGATTCCGATGTTTGTAGGTCGCCTGCACCCATATGTTATGAAATGGGCGCACTAATAACACATCAGGAGTTAGCTTAAATCTTCAGTTATTTATCTTCCAAATTTGGTTTAATTTAGAACGGTTTTCAAGAAATTTTGTTTTTTTCTAAATAACTACAGCGGCAATTCATAACATAAAATGACATTCAAGTCAAAAACTATAAAACTATGAGTTGAACCAAATTCAAGTGGCAGTAAATGACAAACTGGTCATTTTCATTACAACCTATCAAATATCCTCCGTGCATGCGCACTGGTTCAGGTAGGGCGTTTCAGCCAATAAGAAGGCTGGTGTTTGTTTACAATTTAGGTTATTAAATGTCATTTACTGCCGCTTGGATTTGGAAATGGTGTAACAAAATTTGGGTGGTCCAAACTCAAAATTGCAAGGTTAACCGAACTATATTGAAAAAGATGCGAGTTTTTATTCGAAATAAGAGAGTTGGTGCTTACATTTGGTACACCCTGTATAGTTGAAAATCTGAAAATATTTTAGGTGACCCAGGAACGATTGATTATGGCTACAAACCAAATTTGAAGTTTCTAATCCCCCTGCAACATTGAAAACTCCTAATGAACGGGCTACGTAAATCACCCTGTATACAAGGAGGAGCACGAAAAACTTCCTACATCCTACCTAGGTTGCTTAGATGTTAGATGAATAATCATAAATCGCTCGACCATTTTATTGGTATTTTCACTCCCCTGTCTGTCAACCCCTAAGCGGAGGTGACAGGTACCCCCAAAATTTCAAATAAAAAGGGGGGTCGAGTGATACATCATTTGATGGAAAGTCTTATGAAGAATATATCCTCGAAATTTTAAGTTGCGGCAGGGTTATTAGTCCCTGCCGAAATGGCGGCTTGTCAAAATTAGGAAATATGTATAAAATTGTATAACCCTTCCATTTGAAATCAATCAATCAATAAACATTCACTAAAACCTTCAGCAGCAAATTTTATCTAACTTTCTTTGTCTTTCGGGCTGTCCACTGGCGGCCATTTTCGAAAATCGCCGCCACGGCCACCGGGGGTCAGTTGGCCGATGGCTCCACATTCGATTTTGTACATATTACATAGGTTCACCTCTGTGCCAAATTTGGTGCCTTTATCAGAAAGTGCACAATAGGTTAGCTAATCCGCTGTACTAAAATGCTTATTAGAGGTCTAAAGTTCTACAGCAATTTAAATTTGCTCTTTAAAGCCTTCTTAAAAGCGTTTTGTAACTTTTAACCTGAATCCTATTCTGGCGCTTTTGAAAATGTTTCTGGTGATTCTAGTGTTCGAGTGTTTTAGAGCGACCTAAAATGAGTTTGAAAGTTTCAAATTTTTGAGTCGTTCTAAAATGCTTTTGAAAATTGTAAATTGGTGTTTGAATGTTTTGGGGTATTCTAAAATGATTCTGAAATTTCCAAAATTTTCTGAAGCGCTACAGAATGCTTTTGGAAATTCTGAATTAAGTGTTTTGAACTTTCCAAAAGGCCTAAAGTGTTCTCACTTCTGTAGCATTTTAAATGGTTTCCAGTAACCTCTAAATTGAATAAGAAACGAATTCTGATGTGGGAAATGTTTCTAGACATCTTATGGAGGCGTTTCTAAGATGTCCACAAGCGACATATTCAAGACATCTTGCTTACTTCTTCAATGCGTCTCAAAGACATCTTGAAGACGTCGTAATGTTACAAAACCCGTCTGTCAGAGATCTGACTAAAGACGTCTTTAGGACTAAGGCAGAAGAAGTCATCTGAGACATTCTAAAGACTTCTTCAACGAGATGTTTTTGAATCTCTTTTCAATACATAAACCATTATTTACTTTTAGGCTTGGTTGTACTAAATAGTTGTGTTTAAAGGGGGTGTGACCCAAATATGAAAGTTTTAGTTCAAAAAAATCTAAGAATAACTATTTAAACCGCATCTTGCTACGATTGTCCGTTTTCGAGTTAGAGCGGTTTAAATTTACAACTAGGTGTTTGTGACGTCATACCGAATTATCAGGCACAGTATTAACACGTGTAAGAATTTCCCAAAACAAAAGACAATTATCTCACTAGAGCGAATTGCAACCACTCTAGTATAGAGTACGGTTTCACTGACGACTGAACAAACAAGGAATTTTCTCGGAAACTATTTTGAATATAGGACTGCGGTTTTCACGAGAGATCTTGGATTTTTTTTCTTGATTTAAGTAGCTTAAGTCGTTTTTCAGGGTCACAGCCCCTTTAAGATATGAATTTTACATCTTATGGACATCTTCAAAACAACGTCGTCTAGGCGTCTTTTTTTGGTCTTCAGACGTTTAGACGTAATGCAGAGCTAAAAAAAAACACGTTTTTAAGACTTTGCGGGCTGCCTGGGTAGCTGACCATCTCGCATCTATTACTCTTTTAACGGATGTTCATCAGCAACATTTAGTTGGGTGGACTCTACCTGAGTTGGGAATCCCACATCTACAGAAACAGTGTTGCCGATAGTGTGCGTAATTTGGGGGGTGTCTTAGGGCGCGAGGTTGCCAAACGATATTTGATTTCAGAGTGAATCTCGGGCCCCATTGAGCGTCCAGGCCCTAGGCGGCTGCCTAGTCCGCCTAGTGGTAAATCCGGCACTGTTCACACAAAAAAAGTTGAAAAAAACTCTCTCCTTGCGGACTCGTGTCAGTTATCTTATGATTTGGACTGTTGAAAATTTTGAATAATCATAACTTTTCAACAAATTATAGATAAAAAGTACAATAATTTAGTGTTATTTTATTTTAACGTTCCCGAACAATTCTTGTGCATCAGATCAGGTAAAATCTAATTTATTGGCAAATCGCCTGGTAGAAAATAGATTATAAAAACTCAAGCCGATTATTAGAAAAAACAAAGTCTCACGTTGAAAAAATACAGGTTGGTACTTATAAAGTGTTTGGAAAAGTAAAAGCATCCAGATGTTCACAAACACATCAGAACAAAAATATTCTAATCTTGCCATTTTAATTATCGAATTTTTAGTTTTCATGGAATAATTTCTGCAGCTGCAATTATTGCAAAAATATAATTATTATGATGATAAATAGCATTGCGCCAGTTGCACCATAATCAGTTTGTTTAGCAAATTCAAATTGAAAAGCTCGACTTTTGACCTGTCCGTTTTAGGTTTATATACAAGTAGTCGTGCCAGATTGTAGTTTAGAATAATCATAAAACGTTGCCCTGTCTTTGCAGATAAAATTTATTACAAACTATTAATCAACAAGTGCGACTTGGGTGGGTTAATAGTTTAATGAAATTTTACAATGTATGAGTAAAAAATGATTTTTACTTTTGGGTCAGCAGCTGTTAAAAGACACACAAGCATCTCACTAATGCACATTTTATGTTTTCAAATATAAAATAATCACTTTTGCAAAGAAAACATGAAATTACTGAGAAGATGTTTGGACTGTATTTATAGGTCAAAACAATAATTTTTGGCTTTGATGTTTGATTTCGTTTTCGACCACATAGAAAATCAAAACTAATAGAGTTTTTTAATTTTCCAGTTACTCAAGATAAGATAATTTTTCTACAAAAGATCCCAGTCCAGCCGCCACTAAAAACTGATGGAACTTCTTCAAAAATCAGTCAAAATGCCTCTATACTAGCGGTAAGTCTTTTGATTCTACAGGGCTTTCATTTCAAAACTTGCCACCTATGTTATCAGCGTAAAGAGACAGATTTCTGGAAATCGCCGAAACAAGTCAACAAAGGACCCTGCCCAAAGTATACGGAAATTGTGTTTATGTCAGAATTGGCTGAATTTTGTATGTAATGTAGATCACGCCTTTCTGATTAAAAGTTACCATTGCACCAATCCTGGAAAATTACTATACGTAGCACACCACTGCGCCACAAGCTTACCTATTTGTGTTACATAGTATGTACTTGAACAATAACTTATTATATAAAGTCAGAATTTGTAAGATTATCCACTTTTTGTCAATTTGCCTTTCAACAGGAATTAGTAATGTTACTTTATCGAAATAGTAACATAAAATGGGTGGTATGAATAAAAACGAACTACTTGCTACTACTACAAGTATTAGCATGTTCTACGTAGTATTTACTCCAAAACGAAGTAGATACTACATTTCGACACTACCGGAAATAAGTAAATGCTTCTTTGTGAAGTAAATACTTCGAAGAATATACTAATACTTGTAGTAGTAGCATGTACTTCGTTTTTATTCATACCACCCGTGACAAGTTATTCAAGTATAAACGAGTAGATTTTTGCGGAACTTATGGGTGGACCTCCCATCTATTCATCAATATGTTGTTTAATTACGATACTAAACTGACTCACTCAAATGTGCGTTATTCTCATTAGTTTAAAAATTACACGTTTCAGGTGAATGTCTTACTTGAACAGTTCAACAATATATTGGTGATTAGATGGCTGCGGAACTCGCTGCGCTCGTCCCGCAGAGGTCCACCCATAAGTTCCGCAACAATCCACTTATTTGTACTTGAACAATAACTTATTATATAAAGTCAGAATTTGTAAGATTATCCACTTTTTGTCAATTTGCCTTTTAACAGGAATTAATAATGTTACTTTACCAAACTAGTAATATATTGTGACAAGTTATTCAAGTACAAACGAGAGGATTGTTGCGGAACTGATGGGTGGACCCAATCATCTATTCACCAATATGTTGTTCAGGTACAATACTAACCTGATTCACTCAGTTGTGAATTTTTCTCATTAGTTCAAAAACTACACGTTTCAGATAAGTGTCTTATTTGAACAGTTCAACAGTGTATTGGTGAGTAGATGGCTGCGGAACTCGCTGCGCTCGTCCCGCAGAGGTCCACCCATAAACTCCGCAATAATCCACTTATTTGTACTTGAACAATAACTTATTATGTAAAGTCAAAATTTGTAAGATTATGATTATTCACTTTTTGTCAATTAGCCTGTCAACAGGAATAAGTAATGTTACTTTACCAAACTAGTAACATAATTGACAAGTTATTCAAGTACAAATGAGTGAATTGTTGCGGAACTTATGGGTGGACCTCTGCGGGACGAGCGCAGCGAGTTCCGCAGCCATCTATTCATCAATATGTTGTTTAATTACGATACTAAACTGACTCACTCAAATGTGCGTTATTTTCTCATTAGTTTAAAAATTACACGTTTTAGGTGAATGTCTTACTTGAACAGTTCAAAGTTCAACAATATATTGGTGATTAGATGGCTGCGGAACTCGCTGCGCTCGTCCCGCAGAGGTCCACCCATAAGTTCCGCAACAATCCACTTATTTGTACTTGAACAATAACTTATTATATAAAGTCAGAATTTGTAAGATTATCCACTTTTTGTCAATTTGCCTTTTAACAGGAATTAATAATGTTACTTTACCAAACTAGTAATATATTGTGACAAGTTATTCAAGTACAAACGAGAGGATTGTTGCGGAACTGATGGGTGGACCCAATCATCTATTCACCAATATGTTGTTCAGGTACAATACTAACCTGATTCACTCAGTTGTGAATTTTTCTCATTAGTTCAAAAACTACACGTTTCAGATAGTGTCTTATTTGAACAGCTCAACAACAGTATATTGGTGAGTAGATGGCTGCGGGACGAGCGCACTGAGGTCCACTCATAAGTTCTGCAATAATCCACTTATTTGTATGAAAGTTCATTACAATGTCGAAGCGTTTTATTTGCTACCTATGAATACTATAAAATTAATTTTCTCAAAAAGGAATCATTTTTCAGGATTGGTGGTAACTTTTAATCAGAAAGGCGTGATCTCCATTATATACAAAATTCAGCCAATTCTGACATAAACACAATCTCCGTATACTTTGGGCAGGGTCCTTTATTGAGGGGGAATGTTCTTTACGTAAACCTGGACTTCGCCCCTTCAACCCTCTAAGCCCTAGGGCTACCACCTCAAAATTTTCAAATGAGACAGGGGATCATTTTAAATGGCTATTTAATCTGTACATTTTGCCGTCCTATTTTTTGTATTTGACCTCAGTGTTGCAGAATAACATCCATTTCAATGTTTAAAAATGCCTATTTATCCTTACTTAAACACACCTGCTTTTATACTTAACTTTTTATTACAGTAACAGGTAAACAAGCAGGTGTGTTTAAGGATAAATAGGCATTTTTAAACATTGAAATGGGTGTTATTCTGCAACAGTGAGGTCAAATTTAAAAAAAAAAGACGGCAAAGTATACAGATTAAATAGCCCTTCAAAATGTTCCATCACTCGACCCCCTGTCACATTTGAAAATTTAGGGGTGGTAGCCCGAGTGCTTAGGGGGTTGTATAATCAAATCAAAACAAGAACTTGGAAATTTTTAATTAAATACGATGATGAATGATGATTTTTTTCTCTTCCAGAGAGACCATTCAATGGCGGTAACCGAAACCGCCCAAAACCTATCCCGCTACGTTATTCCAGGCATACTGGGGACCATTATAATTGTGATATTTGCCATGCTAATTTATTTTTTCCGACTGAAAGTAAAACGAAGAAACGACGCAGTGAGTTTATTAAATAAACATTTTTAATTGGAATTGAGCAATTTTCGATTATTTCAATTTAACCTTTTCAAATTCAATTTTTTTAAGGCATCTCCAATTAACTTGAAACACAGCCTTTTGATACCGGAAAGATACGCTCCGAATCCTCAATATTCGGCGTGTTGCAGTACCGACGTGCCGGTGATAAGAAAAGAAACTCTCAAATTCCTCAATGAACTCGGAGAAGGATGCTTCGGCAAAGTTTTCAAAGGCAAGTGAAATAAATTTTTCCTCCCTTATAATCATTCTGAAGTCTCGCCAACGCGAATCTGGCGTCAAAGACGTCAATTAGTTTGGAATTGTCTTTTTCTGAATTTCAGATAGGAAATTTTCTATTCGTAAAAGGACATTTTAAACGTAAGAATTTTTTAAATTGAATTCCTTTGGTTTTATACAAGAGCTGCATTAGTGCAGATGTTCAATAAAAATAAATTTCCAATTCAAAATTCCCACAATGGACGAATTTGTTAAATATTTAATTCACTTAAATATTCTTTCGGGATTTTCTTTTTTATACAAACATCAACACAAAATATAAAAAAGTTTTATTAAATTCGCTTAAACTGAAATTCGATTTGTCTAGACGGGACCGCCACCATCTTCAATATGACGTCAACCTCTTTTTTGTTGGTGACTTTGAAATCGAAATTTTGTACTATTTTTGCTAGGGTGAGTTGCAGTTGGGCTTCAGCTAATTTCCTACCTATGCAGGACCTAAAAAAAATATATATATGTATAACAGTGAATCGTTTACTTATGAATCTTTTTGACTTTTGAATTGAATTTTTGAAAACTTTGAAAGCTGGTGCTCAAAAATCAAAATTATGTATACACTTTTCTAGTTCAATTTTTGGCCTTAGGAGCGCCGAGAATAGAATTCGTATGCTTTTTTTGTATGAATTTTAGCTCTAATAAAGCTAGGGATGAGATTTTTAAAATTTCTATATCTGAAAGGGTCAAACAAGTTTCCTGACCACTTCTAACCTCTTGAATGGTCAAAAATCAAAATTATATACACTTTTCTAGTTCAATTTTTGGCCTTAGGAGCGCCGAGAATAGAATTCGTATGCCTTTCTTGTTTGAATTTTAGCTCTAATAGAGCTGGGAATGAGATTTTTAAAATTTCTCTATCTGGGTCCTTATTCTTGAAACAGGGGAGCAACTTTCCCAGGAGAATAAGTGTTTCGTCTTTCTCAATGATATGCAAATGATAATATAAGTAACAAAGACGGAACACTCTTTCTCCTGGGAACACTGCTCCCTTGTTTCAAGAATAAAGAGCCTGAATGGGTCAAACAAGTTTCCTGACCACTTCTAACCTCTTGAATGGTCAAAAATCAAAGTTATACAGGGTGTATATTTTTAGTGATACCACTATTGCTATATCCGAAACGGTAAGAGCTACAAAGTCGGTTAAATTTAAAAAAAGTGGCCTTTTTTGATACCCATCAACTCTCGTTTACAGTGTTTCCAAATTTCTTTTAGTATATGAAATACAGGGTAATAACTAGGGCAGAATTAAGAAAATTTTAAGTATTGAAAAACACATAAATTATTTTTTGGAGGCTTAAAATGCTTTTGGGCGTGGCACCCGAAAAAATTTTCGGCCTCCGATAATTACCAACAAAAATACGAGAATTACAAAAAATTTGTAAAATACTCGAAAAATACAAAAAAATCGTAAAAAAATCGAGAAACACAAAAATTGTCAAAAATTTAAGAAAATCAGAAAAAATACGATGAGTAAAAAAAACGAAAAATACAAAAAAAAAAAAAAAAATATCGTGAAAAACACGAAAAATACAAAAAATCGAGAAAAATAATTTACGCAAATCACAGAAAATACGATAATTACAAAAAATTAGGTTAGTAATTGCAAAAAAAAAACAATATGTACCAATTTTTGAAAGCCGATATGAAGAGTGGATTACATTTCGAGACATTTTCATCAAAGTGGTTCATGAAAATCCAACAATTACGGCAATAGAGAAAATGTAGTATCTTAGAACGCATGTAAGAAGGGAAGCTGGAAGACTGATCCAGCATCTGTCTATAACAAAAATGAACTATGGCCCTGCTTGGAATATTCTTAATGACAGATACAGCAACAACAGCCTTATAGTTCTCCAAACTACTAGATAGGATCTTGGATCTTCCAGTGATTAATCACGAATCATCATTCAAGATTGAACAGCTTCATGATACAGTTGTGAAATGTCTTCAAGCCATCAATAATCTGAGTTTTGATACTCCCAATTGGGATCCTATTATCAGTTGCACCATCTGCCGGAAATGAGATCATGAAACCAACAAGCTTCACGAACAATCGCTAAGCAAGCCCCATGAAATACAGGACTTTGTTGGAATAAGGAAATTTCTTCATGCAAGATTCTAATCATTAGAAGCACTAAAAACTATACAGAATGAGAGAGATGAAATCGATTATTATCTATTCCCGGCTCTTAAATTCAACTATAGCGTTTTCCATTTGTCGAACCAGTGCAAAAGAGTGAGAGAGATGAAATCGATTTTTGTCTATTCCTGGCTCTTGAATTCAACTCAGTCCTAAACAAATTGATTGACAAACGACGTCCAATTCAATGTTTATCTGTCAACTCCTGTTACAAAGAAATTAGTGTCAAGTGTGAGAGAGAAAAATTCATTAGGTACTAGGTAAAAAAAAACTATACAGAGGGAGAGAGATGAAACTGATTTTTGTCTATTCCCGCCTCTTGAATTCAACCGTCATAAACCAATTGATTCACAAACGACGTTCTCAATATTTATCTGTCAACTCCTGTTACAGAGAAAATAATGTCAAGTGTGAGAGAGCTAGAACCATTACTAGGCAAAAAAATATACAGAGCTGAGAAAGATGAAATTGATTTTTGTCTATATCCGGCTCTTGAATTCAACTCAGTCAACTCCTGTTACAGAGAAATTAGTGTCTAGTGCGAGAGAGATAAAACCATTATTACGTAAAAAACTATACAGAGGGAGTGAGATGGAATCGATTTTTGTCTATTCCCGGCTCTTGATTTCAACTCAGTTATAAACAAATTGATTGAAAAATGACGTTCAATTCAATGTTTATTTGTCAACTCCTGTTACAGAGAAATTGATGTCAAGTGTGAGAGAGATAGAACCATTACCAGGTAAAAAACTATACAAAGGGAGAGAGATGAAATCGATTTTTGTCCATTTTAGACTCTTGAATTCTCTTAATTTAAAGAAATTTAAGAGCCGGGAACAGACAAAAACTGAAAAGGAATAGCTAAGCGAGAAAATTAATAAGAATTGAAAATTGAGAAAAATCTAGAAGAAACTGGTTGATAAGCAGAAATACAAGGATTGTTTCTATTCCAGGCTCTTGAATTCTCCCAATTTAAGGAAATTTGAAGAAATTTAAGAGCCGGGAAAAGACAAAAATTGAAGTAAAATGTCTAAATAGGCGAGGAAATTAATGAGAATTGAAAATTGAGAAAAATTTGTGGAGAAACTATGGGTTGATAAGCAGCAATACAAGAATTTACTCTATTCCAGTATAATAGAGTCCCTCTATTCAGGGAGATTTGAAAAAATTCAAGAGCAGGGAATAGACAAAAATAAAGAGAGAATAAATGAGCGAGAAAATTTATGAGAATTGAAAATTGAGAAAAATTTGAGAAGAAACTGGTTAATAAGCAGCATTATAAGCAGAAATACAAGGATTGTCTCTATTCCAGGCACTTGAATTCTCTCCAAATGACGTCATTTAGGAGTCAATTTCGGTTCGCAATTTCATCTTACCAACATATGACGTGATTTATGACCTACTGTTACATGCATAAACGTCATGACATGATCAAACTGACATATTTATGAGGACGTCAATTATACCATATTTCAAATCGGACATGGCTGACGTATTTATGACGTAATCGTATGGCATTTTTATTTTTGTAAACTACGTCTTTTCCCAGTGGCGGATGCACGGGGAAGTGGAAGGGGGTTATTACCCTCCCCCCAGAGAGGCCTAAGAAAATTTCGATTATCAAAATTATTTTTTGGAGGCTTAAAAGGCGTTTTTGGGCGTGGCACCCGAAAAAAAAAAAATTCTGCCCTTCAAGTATAGACCACGAGCCCAGGGTTGCCAACACTTCCGAAAGTAGATCTACTAAATGAGACTATGGAATCTACTAGACATCTACTAGACGAGAATTAGGTACTTTTTAATTTCTACCAAAAAATCTACTAGGCATTGCTAATTTGGACTCCCCTTTATAAAAAGGAATATGGAAGCTGTGCTATGAGTTCTAATTATTGTAATTTGTATAGTGACTTTATTAACCAACAAAAAACTACAAACTAGAATCACTTGACTCTCATTACAGAGACTGCTATGACAGCATGTCAGTCGGTCATGAGAGTCATTAGCAAGTGATTCTACTTTGTAGTTTTTTGTTGTATATCATATATCATATGATAGGTTTTTTTTTGTCATATAATATATTATCTATATGGTATAGTATAAAGTTTTTTTTTTTTTTAAGATATTTCCCCAAGTCAAAAATTTAGTAACTATGTTGGCAACACAAGCCTTTTCTACATAAAAAATTTGAAAGCATTGACAATTTTATATTGTATTGCCAACATAATGTCATTTTGACTTTTATCTTATCATTCGACAAGTTGACAACATACTTCAACCTTCCAATCGGTCATTTTGACAGCTTATTTGGACAAGACTTGTGCTAACCTAACCTCCCTTTGTCCTCCAGCTGTCAGAAACTCGTACCCATAGAATACTCGTACCTATTATCTAATAATCATAGAAAAAGTATAGTATTCTACTTGTGGGTAATGGCTATTACTCACTCGGATGATTACACTACTCGCCTGCGGCTCGTAGTGCAAACTTCATTTTTTGTGAGTAATAGCCATTATTACCCGTTCGTTGAATGACATACTATTTTTTTTGTCATATATATATGATGTGACAGCAAAGTATTGTTGGCTCGGCTGTATGCCCAATACACCAAGAAAGCTGCCGAGGATTCCCCAGATTCCTCCGCAAAATTGAAAGAATGATGACTGTGACGCATAACGCATAGTATATTGACATCTAGCCACTCCCTACTCAACTAAGGGCGGGTATTATAAAACTATTTTAACAGAATAACTAAAAGTTAACTTTTGGAATGAGATACTTCTCATAGTATTTCTAGAAGTTATCTATTAGTTATCTTTCAGAATAGTTTTATAATACCCACCCTAAATTAGATGGCGAATTATCAGTTGTAGTATAGTTTATTGAAAGTTACGAATGTAGCGACACTAAATAGGAGATCATTTAATTATAATTCGGATTTTACTATTCTACAAGATTTTCTACTGCCCACTGGAACATACATTTTCCCACCAAATCTACTGACCTGAATCTACCAGATTTAGTAGAAAATCTACTAAGTTGGCAACCCTGCACGAGCCGTTACTGGTCGAGAAGCTCTACCCCCCCTAGAATGGTGCTATAGATCCGCCACTGAGCTGTAATAGAGCTGGGAATGAGATTTTTAAAATTTCTCTATCTGAAAGGGTTAAACAAGCTTCCTGACCACTTTTAACCTCTTGAATGGTCAAAAATCAAAGTTATATACCTACACTTTTTTAGATTAATTTTTGGCCTTAGGTGCGCCGAGAATAGAATCCGGATGCCTTTCTTGTTTGAATTTTAGCTCTAACAGTATGAGATTTTTCTTCGAAATCTCATGAATTTAATTTTTATGTATATTCCAAATATGTTAAAATTTTTCTTTTTATTTCGAATGCATTTTTTAGTATCTCATTGTGTGCAACACAGCATATTATGCACGATAAAAATTTCATATTAAAACTAAGCGATGCAATACATAATTTTTCACATTTTCACTTTGTATCGTTTGACGATGGATAATAGAGATTTTCCGTAATGCATTTTCACATTCTATTCAATCAAATAAAGATTCTTACCTTACACCCATAGCAAAAGGTAATGCAGCACTGTGTACCACCCCAGTCCTAACCTCCTCGCTCCTATTCCATCGATCAGGATCAAAGACTAATGGATTATTGAAATTGCGTTTGTCCCTTCCCGTCGTAAATATTGACATGATCAATACGGTTCCGGCTGAGAGCTTATAGCCATTGATTGTAACTGGTTCAGGTAGGATTCGAGTTAAAAACGGAGCTACCGGATAGAGCCGTAAGGATTCTTTGATCGTGTTTTTGAGGTAGGAGTTGGAGTTTAATCTTAGACCCTAAAAATAAATTATAATTATATTTTGAAAATGTTTGTGTAATAAGATTTTCTCGTTAGGTACCTTTTTATGCTGGAAAAGTAATTAATATTGAACCTTCTTATATTTAGTAATTGAACCGAAATTTTGCTACATTTTAAATTTCCGCCTATTTTGTTTTAAATTACCGAATTTGCTTTGGCGTTCTGCCCTCTCATCAACTAATTCCCCTCCAAAAAAGAAAAGCTTAATCATGGTGGAAAAAAAAAGGAATTATTACTTCGATTTTCGTCGAAAATTTTTCAACGTTTCCATTTTCCGCTGGTCAAAATATGAAATTCAATTCAATAAAGCTTTAACATTAGAGTAAAATGCATGGTCGGTAATATAAAATTTATCAAGCTTTATGTTTTCACTCCACTCTAGGCGGTAGGAGCTTTGTTCAAAAATCTAAGTCCTAATTGGCGCAAGAGAAAACTAGTGCTAGAGATTGGCAAGGGTAATTTGTTGGTCGACAAAAACATAATATTCAAATAACATTTCCTTTAGAAAAAAGAGCTCAGCAGAGATAATCTTTGCTTTTAGCCTTTTTTTTTTCAGCAGAAAAGGCGAGTGAGTCAATGCATTTTTGATTTTTATTATTAAATATTTAAGCTTTATTGGTTTCCAGAGAAAAAAGGATACCTTTTACCTAATGCTGGAGGATTTTCTCTATAAACTACATCAGGAGATTATTTGGATTTTATAAAAAAAAATTCCACTAACTAGTTTGATGAGGCCTACGATAAAACTGAATGAAAAATCCCAAATCAAAACTTTTTTTCTGTAATTTATTGATTGATTGCCTGTATAAAAATTATCCAACGAATCAAGAGCCGTTAATAATAACATTTTGATCTACAAGAGCCCTTGATTCCTCTAGAAATTGAATTGTTTGTATTGTTTACCTACACCTAATACCTTTACCTTTAGGTACCTTTTTCTTATAAATACTTTTTAATACATTTTCAATTCTACCTTCTGCATAATCGCATTTTGCTTAAATTGAACGTAACATCAGCTTTAGTATGCTCGTAGAAGAAATATAGTTCCGAACTCTTGCGGGAAGAAATTTTCGGCACTCGGGCGCTTCGCACCCTCGTGCCGGAATTTTCTCTTCTCGCACTCGTTAGGAAAATATCTATTCTACATAAAAAATTTGAAAGCATTGACAATTTTACATTATCCCAAATCCGAGTGATCAGATTGACGGTACCTTCGTGGCAATACCTATACATGGCCAAATATTGGTTGTCGGCTTCATATACATCCAGCCAAATTACACAATCACCGCCGACCATCTGGATTCCCTATTCAGCGACCACGTTCAGCCAGTTCTGTTGGGAGGTGATTTCAATGCTAAACACGCCGACTGGGTATAAACTAATTCCAACCAAAGGGGAATATCGTTACAAGATAATGCTAAGCGTCTGGACTATAACATCTGGAGTCCAGACGAACTTACTCGTATAAAGGCAACGCCAGACCAAGCATTCTGGAATTTTTCTTACATAAAAACGACCACCCTATCCATCCACAAGAGCTAGACAATGCTGTGGACACACTAACTAACAACATCTGCGATGCTATCAATCTGGCTCGAACTTCGGTCCATGTTACCACACAGAAACGCAGATTCCCTCCAAAGCTACTAACAGAAATCCGTCACAGGAACCGACTAGGGAGACTGGCTATCCGCACTGGTGACCCATACCTGGAAAATTGAGTCAACCGACTTAACAAAAGTATCCAGAGTCAAGTTAACGACTTGCAAAAAGTCTCACAATAGGACCACGGAAAAGCACACTTCATATTAAGGTTAACTACACTACAATAACCGATCCAGTTCTAAAACCGGAAACCTAGACACGCAACGTAGACACCACCATTAGGATCATGCTAGAACAGCCCCACGTCACCTGCAAACATCACAACCCAAAGCGTGAGGGAAACCATAGCATATCTCAAGCCCAGAAAAGTCCCAGGCATAGATCAAATCTCCAACCTGGCCATTGAAAAACCAGCGCAGCAACAGATTGAGGACCTAACCAAGATCGTTCAAGCCACTCTCCGTCTCTCCCATTTCCTATCAAAATGGAAAGAAGCCAATGACATACTTATAAGGAAACAAGGCGAATCTAGTACCAATCTTTGTAGCTATCGCCCAATCAGTCTCCTCCCTGAGTCATCAACAGGACACGGTTTCTCACCTGCGACTGCTACCCGACCAGCCGATGAGTTTTCAGAACTCAGCATTCCACATTCCATCTAGCCACCAGACTGTAATGTATGCGCTCAACACTTTATTGTAAACGTAACATAAGGCACCCTTTCAGTCATCATCCGATAAGTAACATGTTGAGTGGTGGACTAAAAATAATTAGACAAATAATGGCCGTCTTATTCTATGATGGCAGTCTCAGAAATAGAGTTTTTAGGTCATACCTTGAACAAACAAGGTATAAAACCTTTAAAATCAAAAGTAAAAGAAATCATTGATGCCCCTGTCCCTACTAATTTAACCCAAAGTTTTCTTGGTCTGTTGAATTTTTATTCTAAATTTTTACCTCACTGTTCAGATACTCTTAATGGTTTATTAAGAAAAAGTTAACCATTTAAATGGGGAGAGTCTTAACAGGCAGCATTTGAAAAGTACAAAGAGATGATAAATCATTGTCTTAGTTTAACACATTATGATCCTAATATAGAGCTAATAGTTGCTGCAGACGCTAGTCCCTATGGTTTGAGAGCGATTTTGAGCTTAGTAGAAGATGGAGTTTGTAAACCAATTCAGTTTGCATCTTGTACGTTGTCTCCATCAGAAAGAAATTATGCTCAAATGCAGAGAGAAGTCTATGCAGTCGTATTTGCAGTTCGCAAATTTCACAAGTTTTTGTATGGAAGGAAATTTATAATATTCTCAGATCACCAGCCATTGAAAACCATTTTTGAAGAAAAACATGGGTTGCCTACATTAGCTCATGCTAGGATACAAAGATGGGCTGTTACGTTATCTGCATATAACTATGAGATTAAATACAAGACTAGTGAGATGTCTAATGTTGATTGTCTATCAAGAATGCCACTGTCCAAGATGTTTGAAGAATGTAAACTAGAGGAGCAAGTTTTTGCTTTCACATATGAAGATAACTCACAGCCGGGTTGATTTGTAAGAGAGACAAAGAAAAGATAAATGTTTAAATAAAGTTATTGGCCATGTCAAACATGGATAGTCTTACTGCAATAAAGATAACTTAAAGTCTTATTTTCAACGAAGAAATGAGTTAAGCGTTGAATGTGAATGTTTAACCTGGGGAAATCGAGTTGTTGTGCCAGAATCTTTGAGAGACAAATTGTTGGATATGTTACATGAGAGTCATCCTGGGATGATAAGAATGAAGCTAAGAGCTAGAAGTGAATTTTGGTGGCCAAACATCAATGATAATATAGAGCGTTTAGTTAATACAGGCGTATTCTTTTGATCTGAACAAACTGATCGCAATCACTCGAGGTTTGTTTCAAACAATTTTCATCCGGTGTTACAACGATTTCATTGGCCCCATAGATGTTTTTTTGACGCCTCATGAACAAACCTCATGTGACCATAATCAGTTTGTTCAAATCAAAAGAATACCAGGAATGTCAACCATGCCAAATTCTAAATAATCGTGAAAAGAATGTCACCATATGAACTTAGACCAAGAGCGAGTCATTTTTTTTCAAGAATTCACGTTGACTTTTATGACTTATGGGAGGTTATAAATTGTTTTTGGTGATAGATAGTACTTCGAAATGGTTAGAGATTTTTCGAATGAAAGGAACAAATGCTCAGCAAACGATAACGAGACTTCGTGAAGTTTTTAGTATGTTTGGTCTTCCTGAAGTTTTAGTGGTGGACAATGGACAATGGACCTCCTTTCAATAGCGATGAATTTCTAAGTTTTGTAGATCCAATGGAATACAAGTAGTCAACACCCCACTTTATCACTCCGAATCGAACAAAAGTGTGGAAAAATCAGTTTCGATGTCAAGTACGGTTACTATGAAATCACCAGCAGAATTGAAGTTCGAACAGATCCCAAGAACAAAACTTAATATGTTTCATCCGAAAAATTTAAAAGGAAAGGTAGAAAGAAAACGAGAGGACTATGTAATTGAAAGTGAAAATATAAGAAGACGAGATAATAAAATGCATTCGATTAATCAGTCAGTCATGTTATACTTAATACAACTTAAGAAATGGACAGCAAAGGTGTTAAAGGCAGCTGGAATTAATTCTTATTTGGTGATGACTCCAGAAGGAAGAGTGCGATATGTTCATGCTGATCACTTGAAACAATCGTTGTTGCAGTATACAGAGACAGATGTCCGGCCTGATATTCCTTTAGTAAGGCAGCTGTGGAAATTTCGGAAAACCCGAATAACCCCGAAAATATAACAGAATATTCTGTTGACCGGAAATCTATAGCAAATCATGAGTAAAAAAATAATGTCTCACCCTCGGTAGAAGTGTTAGAGCCAAAAACTCCTACTTCCTTGCCTAGTCCTATTTCTCTTACATCTAAATATCCTAATAAAAAAAAGGTTTCTGATCACTCAGGGACATCTCCACGCTTGTTGTCAAGGACATCTCCACCCTTGTTACGTAGATCTCAAAGATCTGCCAAGGCTCCTGAAAGGTTGAACATTAGAACGCTAGGATCTTGACAAAAGCAGTGGGAAGGAATGCAATGTATGCGCTTAACACTTTATTGTAAACATAACATAAGGCACGTCAGACAGGTGAAGGCTGAAAGTTAACCCCAAAAAGACGCAAGCCATCATATTCGGAATGAACAAGAAAAGGCCACCCTCCTGGACAAAAAAGGACAAGTACCTAGGAATAATTTTCGACAGTAAACACAACTGTGCGGAATATATCAAATACGCTAGGAACAAGGCTACAGGCCAGCTCAAACAACTATACCCACTTCTAAACAGACATAGCAAGCTGAACATCCGGGAAAAGATAAACACCTACAAAATGTATATCATAATAACCTACAGATCTTCAGCATGGACATCAAAGAAAGTCATCTCCAACCGCTACTAAGCCTAGAAAATAGGATTTTACGGAGCGTTCTAGGCGCACCATGGTTTGTGCGAAACACAACAATCCGCAAACACACAGCTCCAAGAACTGAAAAACCATTTAGACGATATTTGTACTAATCATAGGGGAAAGCCACACCCCAGCCCCGCCAGGTGCAACGTACCCCTTTCCAGGGAACCACATTTTTTGTTGAAGCCAGTCCAACCTCGCACTTGCAGGTCCGCCACGCTTGGATCAACAAATACTCTTCCAGATCTGGAAATACGATGAAATAATAGGGGAACATAAAATAGGTGATATTTTTCCCAAACCTAATAATCTCCCATTTAGCCAAGGTAAAAAAAAATCTTATTTTGTATGAATCATTTTCTAGTACTACCAAAATTACTCCTCCGTCGCCATAATACCAAGAATCCCACCAAACATTTCAATTTACCTTATTCTCATAATCCCTAATTTCCTCTCGCAGCCTTTTCTGAACCTCGAGATTCCTTCCAACCGAATACAGCAACCATTCCATTGAATAAGCTGTGGTATCGCCAGCAGCTAAAATCAAATCGATTACTATTTTGACAACCTCATTCATGGTCATTTGCTCTTTTAATTTGCCCAATAACCCTTCGCCATTTTCATAGTTTGTCGCTAGATTGCTAACCAAATCGGCCGTAGATTTCAAAGCCATTGTAACAGAAACTTCGAATTTTTTCCATCTAAAAAATCATTATTACTAATTTATTTTTGCAAAAAAAGAAAACCAATTATCCTACCTTGGAATTCTATACTTAGCAGCAAACCCTGACGGAATCAGAGCTAATTTAGAGCTAGTTTCAAAAATCAAATGCAAAATTGAAGCCAAATAACCAATCTCCTTATCCAGCCTCTCCTTATTCTCAGCATAATTACTAGCTCCTATTAATACTGACACAATCACTTCTATAGACCAGTGATAAAGCATTGAATCAATTTCATATTTATTGTCAATTTTACCAATCAAATTCTCTATTGCTGGCCCACAACAATCTTTCAGCCAACTCTGATCGCCTTTGAGCAACAGCGGATTCAAAATCCTTCTAAAATGCAACCACTCTTGGCCGTTCATGAAAAACAAACCTCTGGAAACATTGTGTAAAGCGTTATAAGTGGTCCAGGCCTCTGGAAGAACGTGATAAGGGTACTTTCCTTCGCAAGCAAAGGCCAGTCTTATTGCTTGCGGATCTGAAATGAATACGCATTCAACTGGGCCGATGCGTTCTTTGAAAATCGGTCCGAGTTGCTGGTGTCTTTTATCGATGTATTTGTGGAGCTTTGGCGTTGATCCGGCTAGGATTAAAGATAAAGTAGTACCAATAATTGGAAGACCTGAAATATATATTTTTTTAAAATTGTATTTGTGTTTGTTACACAAAATTTTACCTTTTGCACAAGGGATGTCTTTTAGTTCTTTTGCACTTGAGGTGCAATATCTTGCAATGTTGCTTTTGGTACACAGCATTGTTGAGTAACAGTAGGTACTTACCTTGATATTTTTCACAGAATAAATTTCAAAAAATTTGCTTATCATATCAATGTGTTATCATACAAACAATATTTATTAACGTAATCCGAGTGAGTACCGCACCACGAAATAATTTCCATGTTAATGGTATTTTGTTGTTGCCGGTAGGCTAACGAACTACGTAGTGAGTACCGAAGAAATATTGTGGCTTATGGTTTTGATATCGGCACTGGACGGGATTAACCTTGACTTGCGTTAAAATTTTAATTGAAATTGTCGACGAGTGATAAATTAGTTGTACAGTGATGTCGGATTATGAAAATTTTCTCTAAAAGTGTGTTTGATAACTTCTTTCTATGTTGATGCTCAAATAAAAGTGAATAATTCAGTGACAGAAGCTAAAAACTTTCAGCATTTATAGATAAAGAGTTTTTTTTCGTACCTAAAGCTAAATAAATTGAAAGTGGTTTTAAAGCTCAGAAATAGAACTAAGAGCTTTTTCTCCTTCTTGATATTCAAATAAAAGTGATAAATCCCCCTCTAGAAATGTCTTTGAGAGGATATTGATCTTTTAGTTCAAATTGTAATTATTACCGGCTCTCGATCCATTTCTTCCTCTTTTTACCCCAGAAGTTTTAAAATTTTTCCCTCATCAGTTTTTCAAAAAACCACCAAAGTGTCCAAGGGTCCATTTTGCTTAAATTGGATTTTATAGAATTTCTCATAATGTCATTTTTCACTAAATCAATTAAAGCTTTTAGGGAAATGAGCTCCTCTTTAAATCCAAAATTTTTGAGAGTTTTCATCTCTTCAGTTTTTCAAAAAACCATCGAAATGTTTGAAGGTGCATTTTGCTTAAATTGGATTTTGTAAGTTGATTTTAAAGAATTTCTCAGGTGGTCATTTTCCACTGAATGAATTCAAAATTTCAGTGAAATGAGCTCTATTTCTTCCTCTTTTCACCCCGAAAGTTTTGAGAATTTTTCTGTCTTCAGTTTTTCAAAAAACCACCAAAGCATCCAATTGTGCATTTTGCTTAAATTGAATTTTATTGAATTTCTCATAATGTCGTTTTTCACTAAATCAATTAAAGCTTTTAGGGAAATGAGCTCTATTTCTTCCTCTTTTTATCCCAGAAGTTTTGAGATTTTTTCTCTTTTCAGTTTTTCAAAAAACCACCAAAACGTCCGAGGGTGCATTTTGCCTAAATTGAATTCTGAAAGTTGATTTTAAAGAATTTCTCAGGTGGTCATTTTTCACTGAATCAATTGAAAATTTTAGTGAAATGAGCTCTATCTGTTCCTCTTTTCACCACAAAAATTTTGAGAAATTTTCTTTTTCAGCTGTTCAAAAAACCACCAAAGTATCCAAGGGTGCATTTTGCTTAAATTGGATTTTATTGAATTTCTCATAATGTCGTTTTTTACTTAATAAATTAAAGATTTTAGGGAAGTGAGCTTTATTTTTTCCTCTTTTTACCTCGAAAGTTTTGAGAATTTCTCTCTTTTCAGTTTATCAAAAAACCACCAAAACGTCCTAGGGTGCATTTCGCTTAAATTGGATTTTGAAAGTTGATTTTAAAGAATTTCTCAGGTGATCATTTTCCACTGGATCAATTGAAAATTTTAGTGAAATGAGCTCTATTTGTTCCTCTTTTCACCACAAAAATTTTGAGAAATTTTCTCTCCTCAGTTTTTCAAAAAACCACCAAAGTATCCAAGGGTGCATTTTGCTTAAATTGGATTTTATTGAATTTCTCATAATGTCGTTTTTTACTTAATAAATTAATAATTTTAAGGAATTGAGCTCTATTTCTTCTTCTTGTTACCCCAAAAGTTTTGAGAATTTTTCTCTTCTTAGTTTATCAAAAAACTACCAAAACGTCCGAGGGTGTATTTTGCCTAAATTGGATTCTGAAAGTTGATTTTAAAGAATTTCTCAGGTGGTCATTTTTCACTGGATCAATTGAAAATTTTAGTGAAATGAGCTCTATTTGTTCCTTTTTTCACCACAAAAATTTTGAGAAATTTTCTTCTTCAGTTTTTCAAAAAACCACCAAAGTATCCAAGGGTGCATTTTGCTTAAATTGGATTTTATTGAATTTCTCATAATGTCGTTTTTTACTTAATAAATTAAAAATTTTAGGGAAGTGAGCTCTATTTCTTCTTCTTGTTACCCCAAAAGTTTTGAGAATTTTTCTCTTTTCAGTTTATCAAAAAACCACCAAAATGTCCGAGGGTGCATTTTGCTTAAATTGGATTTTGAAAGTTGATTTTAAAGAATTTCTCAGGTGATCATTTTCCACTGGATCAATTGAAAATTTTAGTGAAATGAGCTCTATTTGTTCCTCTTTTCACCACAAAAATTTTGAGAAATTTTCTCTCCTCAGTTTTTCAAAAAACCACCAAAGTATCCAAGGGTGCATTTTGCTTAAATTGGATTTTATTGAATTTCTCATAATGTCGTTTTTTACTTAATAAATTAAAAATTTCAGGGGTGAGCTCTATTTCTTCCTCTTTTCACCCCAAAAGTTTTGAGAATTTTTCTCTCTTCAGTTTTTCAAAAAACCACCAAAGTATTCAAAGGTACATTTTGCTTAAATTGGATTTTACAGAATTTCTCATAATCTTATTTTTTACTGAATCAATTTAAAATTTTAAGGAAATGAGCTCTATTTCTTCCTCTTTTTACCCCATAAGTTTTGAGAATTTTTCTCTTTTTAGTTTTTCAAAAAACCACCAAAACTTCCGAGGGTGCATCTTGCTTAAATTGGATTTCGAAAGTTGATTTCAAAGAATTTCTCAGGTGGTCAGTTTTCACTGAATCAATTCAAAATTTTAGGAAAATGAGTTCTATTTCTTCCTCTTTTCACCACACAAATTTTGAGAATTTTTCAGTTTCTCAAAAAACTACCAAAATGCCCGAGGGTTCACTTTGCTAAAATTGGATTTTATTGAATTTCTCATAATGTTGTTTTTTACTAAATCAATTAAAAATTTTAGAGAAATGAGCTCTATTTCTTTCTCTTTCTACCCCAAAAGTTTTGAGAATTTTTCTCTTTTCAGTTTTTCGAAAAACCACCAAAACATCCGAGGGTGCATTTTGCCTAAATTGGATTTTAAAAGTTGCTTTTAAAGAATTTCTCAGGTGGTCATTTTTCACTGGATCAATTCAAAATTTTAGTGGAATGAGCTCTATTTGTTCTTCTTTTCACCGCAAAAATTTTGAGAAATTTTCTTTTTCAGTTTTTCAAAAAATCACCAAAGTATCCAAGGGTGCATTTTGCTTAAATTGGATTTTATTGAATTTCTCATAATGTCGTTTTTTACTAAATCAATTCAAAATTTTGGGGAAATAAGCTCTATTTCTTCCTCTTTTTATCCCAAAAGTTTTGAGAATTTTCCTCTTTTCAGTTTTTCAAAAAACCACCAAAACGTCCGAGGGTGCATTTTGCCTTAATTGGATTCTGAAAGTTGATTTTAAAGAATTTCTCAGGTGGTCATTTTTCGCGGAATCAATTCAAAATTTTAGGGAAATGAGATCCATTTCTTCCTCTTTTCACCACAAAAATTTTAAGAATTTTTCTTTTCCAGTTTCTCAAAAAATCACCAAAATGTCTGAGGGTGGATTTTGCTTAAATTGGATTTTATAGAATTTTTTATAATGTCGATTTTTACTAAATCAATTCGAAATTTCAGGGAAATGAGCTCTATTTCTTCCTCTTTTCACCCTAAAAGTTTTGAGAATTTTTCTCTCTTCAGTTTTTCAAAAAAAAACACCAAAGTATTCAAAGGTACATTTTGCTTAAATTGGATTTTACAGAATTTCTCATAATGTCATTTTTTACTGAATCAATTCAAAATTTTAAGGAAATGAGCTCTATTTCTTCCTCTTTTCACCCCATATTTTCTTTTTCAGTTTTTCAAAAAACCACCAAAGTATCCAAGGGTGCATTCTGCTTAAATTGGATTTTATTGAATTTCTCATAATGTCGTTTTTCACTAAAAAAATTAAAAATTTTAGGGAAGTGGGCTCTATTTCTTCCTCTTTTCACCCCAAAAGTTTTGAGAATTTTTCTCTTTTCAGTTTATCAAAAAACCACCAAAACGTCCGAGGGTGCATTTTGCCTAAATTGGATTTTGAAAGTTGATTTTAAAGAATTTCTCAGGTGGTAATTTTTCACTGGATCAATTCAAAATTTTAGGGAAATGATCTCTATTTATTCCTCTTTTCCCCATAAAAATTTTAAGAAATTTTCTTTTTCAGTTTTTCAAAAAACCACCAAAGTATCCAAGGGTGCATTTTGCTTAAATTGGATTTTATTGAATTTCTCATAATGTCGTTTTTTACTAAATCAATTAAAAATTATAGGGAAATAAGCTCTATTTCTTCCTCTTTTCACCATAAACATTTTGAGAATTTTTCTTTTCCAGTTTCTCAAAAAACCATCAAAACGTCCGAGGGTGCATTTTGCCTAAATTGGATTTTGAAAGTTGATTTTTAATAATTTCTCAGGTGGTCATTTTTCACTGAATCAATTCAAAATTCTAAAGAAATGAGATCCATTTCTTCCTCTTTTCACCACAAAAATTTTGAGAATTTTTCTTTTCTAGTTTCTCAAAAAACCACCAAAATGTCTGAGGGTGCATTTTGCTTAAATTGGATTTTGAAAGTTGTTGACTGGTTTCGTTGGAACTTATTAGATACTCGTCGGATTGATTGAAAACTGTGTAAAACATATTCAAAACTATTAGAAACTCTTTAGACCGTATTAGAAACACGTTGAAACGGATTAAAAACTCATTGGAACGTATTAGAAACTTGTTGAAATTTTTTAAAAAATTAGAAATTAGTTGGGGGATGTTGATATTTTCGAATTTGGACAAGTTATCATATAAGAAACTTCTTGGATTGATGAGAAACTAGTAAAAACGTCTTCGAAATTATTAGAAATTCGTTAGAACGTATTAAAAATTCGTTGGAACGTATTAAAAACTATTAGAAACTCGTTAGAACGTGTTAGAAACTACTTATTAGAAATTCGTTGGATTGATTATAAACTGATTAGAACTTGTTAGAAACTACTAGAAATTCTAAATAAGTAAGGGGACGTTGATCTTTCTGAATTTGTAATGGGATTCTCAATCGTTAAGTCGATACGTAACGTCCTGACTCCTTGTAGAAGGGCAATGGTAAGTCGGGGTTGATAGGTTTTGACTAGAAGTTGAGAATCTGAGCCTTGGTCGATTTATCGTATTAGAAATTCCTTGGAATTTATTAGAAACTTGTTAGAACGTATTAGAAACTATTAAAAACTCATTAGAACCTATTAGAAACTCGTTGAAACGGATTATAAACTCGGGACTTTGATTTTTTTTCAGAACGATTAGGAACCTCGTTGAAACGTTTTAAAAACAGTTCAAAATTTCGTTTCAACAACTACTGAAAACTCTGAGGATATAATGGAGTCTTTTGCATAAGGCCGGAGAGTCTTTTCCATAAGGCCAAAGTAAACCAGAAATGGAGCTAAAGGTCAGAAATAGAGTTAAAAAAAATTCCATAACAGGCTTCTAGAAATTCCATAGAATCTTCTTTGAAAAATAATGATAGGAATCAGTCAATCAGAGATACTAAAAATTTTCAGGATTTATAGAAGAGAGTCTTTCTTATAGAGCCATATAAGTCGGAAATGGAACTAAAGGTCAGGAATAGAGTTCAAAAAATTCCATAAGAGGTTCATAGATAATCCATAGAATCCTCTTTGAGAGACTTTGAAAAATAATGATAGGGGCCAGAGACAAACAATTTCAGGATCTATAGAAGAGAGTCTTTCTTATAGAGCCAAGTAACTCGGAAACGGAGCTAAAGGTCAGAAATAGAGTTGAATTTTTTTTATGAGCTCAAAGAAAATCCATAGAATCCTTTTTGAGAGACTCTGAAAAATAATGATAGGAATTAGACACAAAACTTTTTCAGGATTTATAGAAGAAAGTTTCTCTTATAGAGCCAAGTAACTCGGAAATGGAGCTAAAGGTTTGAAATAGAGCTATAAATATTCTCTTTAAAAACCTCTGAAAAATAATTATAGGCATCAGAGACACTAGAAGAAACTTTCAGGATTTATAGAAGAAAATCTTTTTTATAGTGTCAAGTAAACCGGAAAAGGACCCTATAGAGATAAGAAATACTGAGAAAATTTTCATGAGACCTTTCAAGAAAATTGGGAAGATTCCATAGAATCGTTTTTGACAGTCTCTGAAAAATCATTATAGGCATAAGAGACACAGCGTCTTTTCTATAGGGCAAAACAAACTTGAAGAGAATTTAAGAGTTCCATCCATTGATAATCAAATAAGAAAACCTAAAATATAATTGTCTCTGAAAAATACTTTTAGGCACTTTAAGATCTCAAGGTTTATACATTAAATTTTCTTTTATAAGGTAGAAAATGATTATTTTCTGATTTCAATGAATTAATTTGATGAAATCAGCAGAACATCTTTTTTTATGTAAATATTGAGTCACCGAACCAATTTCTTTTTGCTAATTGCTCAATTATCTTTTGCTAATAATTGCTTAATCAAGAATTCACAACTAAAACAATATAAAATGGGATTTAAATTTTCAGCAATATTTAGTCTTGAAATATTCATAGAAATTTTTCTGTGAAAATTGTAAGAGCATCAAAATCCTAGATAATCGATCAAAGAACGTTTATGTCAAATATTGATTTCATCCACCAACTTATGGCCCAAAGTCGAGGTTACTGTAAAAAAAAGACACGAAATTGTATTCAAAAGCATTTTATACACAACTACATCAATGTCTTTCTAGGTTTAGGTTTCGGCGGAATATCAGGCCTAGTAATTTCCGGCGTTGGTGGTACTGGCGGAGCACTTTTAGGTATCACAACATTTTGCAATTCCAGCAATTGAAGTCTTATGTCCATCACTACAAGCTCATTGAGCTCTTCAGAATAATATTTGCTCAGTTTATCAGCCGTGACGTTTTTGTTTGTTAAAAGCAACAAAGCGTCCGTCCAATAACAAGCAGTCTTTTCATCTTTGGCGATGAATTTGATTTTTTGCTCATGCTCCACTATAATGGCAAAAGCCAGCGAAGGGTTGTGACATAGATTCGAATGTTGACAGTTTTTGCCGATGACCACGTGAGTTATGTCTTCGATTATGTGTTTTTCTTTGAAGCTATTGTTGTCGTAAACTAAAAGCTCTTTTAAATTTTTGCTTAGTTTTACGAAAATAGTGCCGTGCACCTTTTTTTCCAAGACTTTAGGAAAATGTTCCCCTTGCAACAAACTATTCACTCTTTGTTGAAAAACATTCAACTCATTCTCCTTTGAATATTTTAGTTTTAAATCTTGAATACATGGATGGTTATCAATTAAACTTTTCATTTCATCTTCTTTGTCTTGTTGAATTTTTTCCAAAACAATTTTAAAAGATGTTTCGGTTAATTCAGCAGTCAATTGTTTAAAATCCATTGGCTTATTTTTTAGAGCCAATTTAACTTGTTTTTGTAACACGTACATCACTTTTTCATAGTCAGCGTATCTAGAAGCCTTCATTTCACGCCTAGTTCTCGAAAGTAGCCACATTGTACGGGAAAATAGTTCCAGAAAAAATGGGGTTTTAGGTGAACAATAATAAACAACAGGTTGGTAAAATGTGCTTTTGCTGTCAGGAGGGTCCATGCCTATATGAAGCATTCTGGCTAGCATTCTTACCACTCTTTCGCTGGTAGCAAATATTCCAGGTTCATAAAGTTGTTCTTCTATTTGGGATTGGTAAAAGTTTTTCGGGTGTATATTTTTGTAGTGCCTGAGAGCTTCTAGGGTGAGGTGGCTGATTGTGTTGTCGAAATAGTCATTTTCTAGGAAATATTTTGATGAGCTACGTTTGCTGGAAATTTCATCGGTTGATGCTATTGAAATTCTATGGTTTCCGGTGTTGAAGGCTAAATTTTCAACTGAAAAAAAGTCATAGTTTTGTAAATTATTTTCATCAAAATCCATAAGGATTGTAATTCGTCTCATATCTTCTGTGCAAAGCTCGAATTCCTCACGTTTAAATAAACTATTATCGTCCAAACTGATTTTACTATGCAAAGCTTCGTTGAACAAACTCAATAAATACGTTTGAAGCACGTACAATTCATGTTCCATATTTTTATCTAATTTGTCATCGGTATTGATGATGTTATTATAAATATTTTCCCTGGTTCTTCTGTAATTCATTTCTTTAATTAATTGCAACTTTTTCTCGCCCTTGCAGCCTTTGATGATGGTATTAATAAGCAATAAAGCACTATATTGTAACTCTCTAGAAGTATCCCTCCAAGTATAAACGTTTATTTCTGTCAAAGGAATTTCTTTTATGATTTTTTCTTTCCATTGATCAAATGCTGAGTTTGCGCTTATTAATATTTTATGAAGTAGCGATAAGGTGAATCGAATTTCTTCATTAGTTGTGTCAGTGTTTTTTAGAATGTTTATGGATTTTGTTAAAATGTCTTGCGTAGTATCTTGGATGTAGTTTTTGCTGAATAAATGTACAATGGTTTTTAATAGGCCTAATTGTTCTTCTGATGATAGAATGTCCTTGATCAAAACATCTATCAGAAATTTGTCATATGCTGCTAAAGCAAGCTCTTCAATAAATACCGGGTCCAAACTTAATTTAAAAATATCGTCAAATGCTATTCGCCTTAAATCCAAATTCTCTTGCCTTACGTTCATTATAGTACGATTAATTATATAATTAACAGAAAAAACAACCTTTAAGCAATCGCTATGCTTAACTTCTTCGAAATTGCTTTTGGATAAATAGTGATTTTTATCGTTGGTTTTCGTCGGCAAATATTTCAGGCCGTAGATTTTCGAGGATTCCGGTAAACCCACTTTGCGGCACACGTTCAAGATGTTTTCTTCCAGGCCTTTAGTTTTGTCGAAATCGTAGAGGATTTGTTCTTTGCTGTCGAACTTTTCGACCGAGATTTTCGCTATTTTCGACATCTTGATTGATTGGATCTGAAAAGGATTTGAATTTATCAATTTAATATTCTATTTTAAAAGATTTTAAGTTTCAAATCTTGCAATAATTTACTGTGTGAATGATTATTTATTAAAAGCAAAATCTCAATTTGGAAAATCTTGCTTAATTGAGTTTGATAGCTCAAATACTTTTTGAGCAATTGAGTCGAAAGTTAGTCAAAAACTTCAAACTCAATTTTCTCAAAAAGAATTGTAACTTTCTGAATAAGTGGGAAATATCAAAATTTGAAGTTGCCTCTACAGAAGGTTTAAAGCCTTGTTAACTCAGAATCTAGAAACTTATCATAATAACATACAAAATCAAATTTGCAGATTATGAGATGCTCTTCAATTTAAAATATATCACAAATCGTTATCCGATTTCTACTAAGAACTGTGACTTTCTAAATAAGGAGAAAATATCAAAATTCGAAGTTGCCTCTACAGAAGGTTTAAAGCCTTGTTATCTCAGAATCTGGAAACTTATCATAATTACATACAATATCAAATTTGCAGATTATGAGATGCTCTTCAATTCAAAATACCTATATCACAACTCGCTATCTGATTTCTTCTAATAATTGTGACTTTCTGAATGAGTGAAAAATATGAAAATTCGAAGTTCCTCTATAGAATGTGTTGGGGCTTTCGATGATTTCGATTTTCGAAGGACCAGTCAAACAACTAGGTTTGACAAAAACGATTTTATTCTGATAAAGATCTCGATAAAAATGGACTGTGAACGTGTGTTAACGATTTGACAAAGTTCAAGAATAATAATGACGTGTTAATGACAAATAATGACAATTGGAAACGCCATAATTAATTATAACAAAAAAAAGTCTCATCCATGGTTACAAAAATCCAGGAACCATGATAAAATATTTTTGTGGGTGCGCTCAGAATGGAACAGAATGTTTAAAGCCTTGTTATCTCAGAATCTGGAAACTTATCATAATTACATACCAAATCAAATTTGCAGATTATGAGATGCTCTTCAATTCAAAATATATCACAACTCGCTATCTGATTTCTTCTAATAATTGTGACTTTCTGAATGAGTGAAAAATATGAAAATTCGAAGTTCCTCTATAGAATGTTTAAAGCCTTGTTATCTCAGAATCTGGAAACTTATCATAATTACATACAATATCAAATTTGCAGATTTTATAAGATTCTCTTCAATTCAAAATATATCACAACTCGCTATCTGATTTCTTCTAATAATTGTGACTTTCTGAATGAGTGAAAAATATGAAAATTCGAAGTTCCTCTATAGAATGTTTAAAGCCTTGTTATCTCAGAATCTGGAAACTTATCATAATTACATACAAAATCAAATTTGCAGATTATGAGATGCTCTTCAATTCAAAATATATTGCAACTCGCTATCTGATTTCTTCTATTAATTGTGACTTTCTGAATGAGTGAAAAATATCGAAATTCGAATAAGTTGCCTCTTCAGAGGGTTTAAAGCCTTGTTATTTCAAAATCTGGAAACTAATCATGATCACATATAAAATCAAATTTGCATATTATGTGATGCATTTCAATTTAAAGGAAACCACAACTTAATTGCTATCTGATTTCTTCTAAAAACTGTGACTTTCTGAATAAGTGAAAAATATCAAACATTCGAAGTTGTCTCTATAGCCAGAATTGAGTAGCGCTAAGTGGTATCACCACGTTCCGCTACTGCGCTGGCAGTCCGGTTCCAACAATGAGTAACAGATAGCATGATGGCGCCTCCAGGATCAAAATATTCCGGAGGTAAAATACCCGACCACTCGGATCTCCGGGCGTCGGGTGATCCTGGGGGTCCTTCATGCAAAGATATAAAGAGAAGATCAAAAACTCAACTCAGAATTGATTTTAGCAATATAAGAGGAATAAGTACAAATATGAATTCAGTTCACCAACATCTTGAAGAACAAAGACCTGACATCCTTGTTCTCACTGAAACTAAAATCAGTTCTGCAACACCTGAACTATCTTTATCCCGGCTATGACCTACACCACCGATTTCGACATAATTTTGGGATCTGTGTGTACATTAAAAATGACCTTTCATGCCATCGAGAGGAGAAGCTAGAACCAGCGAACCTTGATATCATATGGCTAAAATTCACCTCAAAGTCATCGACCAAGTTTATCTGCTGCCTCTACCGACCGCCAAGTAACACCGATTTCCAAAACTTTTTCGCGACATTATCCGAAAGCTGTGATAGTATACAGTCAAACTATCCACAGGCGGAAATTGTCTTTTTAGGCGATTTCAACGTCCACAATATACCCTGGCTGAAACACCACAACAAAACAGATAACGAAGGCAGAGAAGCAGAAGCTTTTGCCATAAGTTGTGGTCTAACGCAGCTTGTCGATGAACCTACCCGTATCTCAGAAAGGGGCGAATTTGCAGCGCTTTTAGACTTGTTCCTAACCACAAATCCTGACTCGTACACAATTCAAGTAGATGCTCCACTTGGTTCGTCCGATCATAAACTTATAATAACAAAGTGCAAAATGCTCATCCCACCAAGCCAACAACCACTTCCTCGTAAAATGTGGCACTATAAATCGGCAAAATGGAATGACCTAAAACATTTTCACCTGGATTTTCCATGGCAAGAGGTTTGCTTTAAAACAGCTGATCCCACTATTTGCTGTAATGAAATAACACAAGTAATCTTATCTGGAATGGATGCATATATTCCACATACAACTAAACGTAGAGCTAATGCAAAACCTTGGTTCAACAGCCAGTGTCAAACGGCTGTACAGAAAAAACACAGAGCATATAACCTTTGGAAACGACAACAAACCGCTCAAAACCACACAGAATTTATAGAAGCCAGAAATAGTTGCAAAATTACTATTGACTCCGCTAAAGAAACATACAATCAAAGAATAAAAAACAGGTTGCTGAATTGTCCAAGTAGTTCTAGGTCCTTTTGGTCTCTTGCAAAAGCTGTTGGATCTAACTTCACCAAGTCATCCATACCACCACTTACAGATAAAAATAATCACTTAGCCACAACATCAGAGGAAAAAGCCAATATGCTGGCCGAAATGTTTTCCTCCAACTCCAACCTAACAGTGCCAAACGGAAAAACTCCACCGTTCATTGAAAGGGTTTCCCATAGTATGCCAGAGGTACCCTTTTGTCACAGAGAAATACGAAAATCCCTTAAAAAGCTAGATACAAACAAAGCAATGGGTCCGGATGGCATTCCCGCAATAGTACTCAAAAATTGCGCCAACGAACTCACCCCAACTTTCGCAAAATTATTCAATTTGTCTTACAGGCAAGGAGTATATCCATCATCATGGAAGTCTGCCGCAGTACAACCCATTCCAAAGAAAGGAAAAAAGTCAGATCCGTTAAACTATAGACCAATTGCTCTACTTCCGGTGATATCAAAAGTAATGGAAAGAGTTGTGAACAATCACCTAACCAAGTACTTGGAATAGTACAAAATTATCAACGATAAGCAATACGGATTTCGAAAATATAGGTCAACTGGCGATTTACTTACATACGTCACTCACTTATGGCAAAAAGCGATTGAGTTGCGGGGTGAAACAAGAACAATTGCCTTAGATATATCTAAAGCATTCGACAAAGTTTGGCATGAAAATCTGCTCAACAAGCTCAAAGCAATGGGATTATCGCCGAAACTTTCCACTTGGTTTGAAAGTTACCTAAAGGACAGATCCATTTATGTTGCACTGGATGGCCAGAACTCCAACTCTTACCAAATAAATGCTAGTGCGCCACAGGGAGCAATCCTTTCGCCAACTCTTTTTCTGATTTACATAAATGACCTCATAGATAAAACAGTAAATCCACTTTATTACTTTGCAGACGATGGCAATGTAGTCTCCTCACTCATACCACCCACAGGTCTTTCCGCACGTGAATTCCATCATCTTAGACTAACTCAAATATCGCAGATAAATAACGACCTGGAGATAATAGAGGACTGGGGTAACAAAAACCGTGTACAGTTCAACGCGCAGAAAACCCAAGCAGCTCTGCTTTCAAAAAAGACCAGCACCGGTGAGCCAAACATCATGCTATCTGGAAGTGCTGTCACATTACAGAGTCAGTTGAACATCTTGGGGGTTACTGCAGAGACCAACATGTCTTGGCACAGTCACGTGGCAGATATTGCTAAAAGGGCGTCCCAAAAGCTGGGGGTGCTATTTCGTACAAGACATCTGTATACACCAAGCCAATTGCTGACACTCTACAAAGCCCAGATTCGACCAACTATGGAGTACTGCTCACATATATGGAGTGCAGCACCCAAACATACCTTAATGCTTTTGAACACCGTGCAAAAACGAGCTATCAAGCTGATCAATGACCCCGCACTTACTCGTAACTTGGATGGTCTCGAACATCGCAGATCTGTGGGCGATTTATCTCTCTTCTACAGGTACTATCACGGAAAATGCTCTGAAGAGTTGGCACGTATGATTCCACCGAGAGTAGCGCCTACCAGGCGAACCCGTCAAACAGACGGTAACCATGAATTTACTGTCAAACTAGAGGCACCAAGAACCTCATTATATCAGAATTCATATCTCTGGAGAACAGCATCGCTGTGGAATAAACTCCCTGCGACGGTTTTCCCTGTAGGTTACAACCTGAACCGTTTCAAGACCAACATACACCGACATTTCCGCGCACTTGCCGCTTCTCGAGCGTGATAGGACATTTCCTTGCGAGTGCGCATATCCGTAAAAAAAAAAAAAAATAGCAGGATTAAAGCCTTGTTATGTCAGAATCTGGAAACTTATCATAATTACATACAAAATCCAATTTGCAGATTATGAGATGCACTTCATTTTAAAATAGACCGCAATGGCAACCCGATACATACATATTTTCAAAAATAACATTCTGATTTCTCAATATTTTCTACAATTATTTTCCTAGTGATTTTTTTGTGTTCTTCAATAGGGGTGCTGTAACTGGTCTATTCATTTGTTTTTTGCTCCAGACAATTTTAAATGGCTTCTAATTACGTGCCAATAATTAAATTTTCACAATAACGACTTTTTTATTTACTGGTAAACTATTTTATATGGTTACAAGTTAATTACCTACATACTAAATAAAATATAATAATATAAAAAATATAATATAAAAAAAAAGGCCAAAGCCCAAAAAATACCGCTAGATGTAAAAAAATTCTTTCAAGCCAGAATCTTCAGGAATGGTCCCAAGTATTGAAGCTGCGTTATCACGTTGAATTGCAATACTAATCTGTTGAGTAATGTAACAGCGAGCATTTTTGTTGTTTATTAATTTGGCTATTTTATTTATAAGCGATTTTGCTTCTTCTCCCCAGGGGCCCATTGTCTCAACACTGAATGGTACGAAGATGTATCCACTGGCTTCAAGCTCTTCCTATTTTTTTGTTTTTTGCATTTCACCACCACGTGCAGCTTCTCCAGATTTTTGCCAAATAAGATGCTGCAAAAGTATCCCTGCACGTGGCGTCCCATATCAAAGACTTACCTCTGCACCAAGGAAATAAGGAGCGCCCATCAACACGCTCCCCATCTCCGCGACATAAACCAGGAGGTTCCAGCACTGAGGGAATACCCGCAGATGCCAGAGCCCTTTTAATAATATTGTTGATTAGCCCATGACGAGACAAACGACCGGCACTTTTGTAGCAGCTTGAGGCGTGATGCCCAAAAATGTCTACAGTTTTGCCGCAAGTGCAGTCGTGTGTCTCACATAAGGGTTGACCCAATCGCAAGGAGACGGAGATGCGGAAGGTGGTGTCTTCCAGAAGATTTCCTAGTGCAGAGGATGGCAGAGCCTGAAGCCAGACACTGCTCTCTGGTTCTTGAACAGCTAGAAGTCAAGCTTGATCGCTTGGATTTTTTGATGAATTCAGTATTGAAATAAATTTTGAACGACAAATTGCCTCATCAAAAAATTTTTGGTTATTGGAATTGTTGGAAGATGAATCACTCATATTTGAAAAAGAAGACCATATATCAAAGGCTTCTTCAAAAAATTTGTCTGGATAAATAAAAATTTCGGATGATAAAATATCTTTAAGAAGATTTGATACATTGCTAACTGATCCGAGAAAAGCAGAAAAACAAAGACTTGAAGCATCACGAATGCCAAGACCTCCCATTTTAACAGGAATATTGCATAGAGACCAAGCGGTGTCACTAATATGGCAATTAGTAATATTTTCCAAGGATGTTTTTAAAAGATGATCAAACTCGTGTAGAAGATTTGGAGCTTTCCAACAAGGAGCACAGCGAAGTAAATACGTAATACGTGGTACTGCAAATGAATGTCTTAAAAGGAAATATGCCGGGTGGGGTGAGAATCAATTAAAGATAATTTACTTGACATTTTATTGAAAATATCGATCTTTTTTTGAAAACATGTGTAAATAGATTGAGCGGAGAAGGGACTTCCAAGAAGTGTAAGGTCTTTTTTTATCTATTTTTGATACAGTGGATAGTTCAGGATTTTTCTCGATAAAATTGTCAAAATCAAAATTAAAGTCTGCAAATAAGATAGATAACTCACATTTTTTCAAATTCACTTCCAGGCCCGTTGAAATACATCCTTTAAGAATTTTTCTAAAATCTTCTAATACGACTTCCGGCTCCCCAGCAATGATACTATCATCAAGGTACCACAAATTTATTTCAGATTTTAAAGAAAGAATTATAGGATGAATTGATAGACAAAAAAGAAGAGGGCCTAAAGGGTCTCCTTGTTGTACTCCTCGTTGGGAAAAAAATTAAATCCTTACCAAAAGATAAAAACGATTTCTCTCTATAACAAGAAGAAATGAAGTTGTAGAAATCAGGAATTAATTATTTTACTTTATGTAAAAGATCCCCCCTATTAATCATATTGAAGGCATTTAGGAATTTTTATCAGGATTTTAGTCGAATTATGAGGAAAAGATGTATACTTTCGAACTGCATGAACAGTGGCTTCACAACCGGATTTGGTTGCAAAACCAAATTGATGAGGACGGAAATAGTCACCAAGGGGTGAATAGATCCTAGAACAAACAACTTTTGCTGCCAGCCTACGAAAACACATACCAACAGCTATAGGGCGTATCCCACTGTCTTTTTTGTTTAAAGCACACAATGAGGCACCAAAGAAAATTGGTCGGATAGAATTTGGAAGCGAATCACTCAAAATAAAATTAATAAAGGAACAAATTGACAGAAGAAGATTATGGGAAGTTTTACCAAGCTCATCTTGAATTATAGGTCTTTCAAATGTTGCGGTCGCAGTGCGTCTCCTGAAGAACCTGGTCTGAAAGAAGTAATTAAATTTTTAATGTCTAAAACTGAAATGTCAAAAGAATAATATTCACGTTCAGGTGAGTTCGGGAAGACGTCATTGACAAGAGGTGGAGGATGTTTTTCTTTCAGTTTTTCAAAGGTGTTAGAATCAGCATCTGCTATAGTATCTTCGGAGCAAAGTAATCTTATGGAACCTTTGATGTCATTTTTGGATAATTTTGCATTTATCCTGGATTTTAAATAGTTCAATTTGGATTTCTTTGGTTTTGTTATTGATTTTGAAAACGAAGGCTTGTAAAAATCTTCAATTAATTTGTTGGAAAGTAATTTTTGTTTTTTCCATATTGATAAATTTTGTTTAACTAACGTGGTTAGTGATTGTTTCTTATTTTGTCTTGTTTTTTTCTGGAAGTTTTAGAACAGCGTATGGAAATAGGAACAAATTAAACCATGAACGGGGAGAATTTTCCGAAATGCATTTAACCAAAAGGTTTGAAAGTTCTTCGGCTATACAGGAACGAGCACCTTTTGGAATACGACGAATTACTGTGACAACAGATCTAAGACCTGTTAAATATTCAGTGATTTCTTCGCTATTTGAAAGAAAATTGTCGTTAATTTCTTCTGATAAATGTTGGATTGATTTGTGTTGCTTTAGTCCTCTTTCTCCCAGAAAAAACTTCCCACACAGAGAACATTCAATTTTATTTGAAGAAATTTCAGGATTTTTGGAGCACTCATCTAAATTGGAAGCACGTAAAAAGTTAATTTCGGCGTCATAATCATTAATTGGAGTATTATTACATGATAAATGTAATAAATCTTTAGTAAGACAAACTATTGAAGAATTCAAATTTTGTACTCCGAAATCCTTATGAATTTTGGATTTGTGAATCTTGAATGAGGCTTGATGGAAAATGTAAATCAAAATGACCATTAACAAGGTTCCCAGAAAAATTTAGATATATGATTCTGGCGTAGTCGGTACGGCTGACTACTAGTGGAGATTCTACGAAAGAAACATCTTCATTACCATTTCTTGATTTTGAAAAATAAACATGGAAAGTTAATTCGAAGAGGTCAGAAAGGGCAAAACATTCAAAAGCAGTTGCGTAGGTTCCATTATTGGCCATATCTGAAATATATCCTTGCTTGGATGTCGAGGCATTATCTTCATTTCCTTTTTGCAAAACATTTTCGAAAATGTTCCAGTTATTCCCAATGTATTCAACTGCTTGTTTTCTAAGTTGAGAAAAAGCATCTTCATTACCATACAAAAAGTAGCTTACTGACCTGAACAGGCAATTTCCGTCGCCAGAGATGCATATTCTTTTATTTTTAACCATATATGTAATGTTGACATTACAGTCTTTTTAAAAATTTGGAAATGTCACTTTACTGTCTTTTCATTTCCCTGCTCCACTTCCCGTCCCCATTTCCCGTCCTCACTTCCCCTCCTCGTTTCATTATATTAATGTGGCAGGTATTGTCAAATTTTTTTCAAAATTGATGACAATGACATAAAATTCAAGCAAATAGCATGAAGCTACGTTCACATTCAATTTCATTTCTAATTTAAATTATGAAAAATTATGGTTAAAAATAAAATAGTATACTATGCTCGACAGGAAATTTAATTACCTACGCGTAGCGTCGAGATAAACTATAAAATCTCTCGACAGTAATAACTAATTTCCCATCTCGGATTGTAATATACTAATTAAAACTTTTCATATAAAAATGTAAAAGTCAAACTGACATTGGGATTTAGCAGTTCCACAAAAATTTTGATAAATCCGGGTTCTACGGCTGGGCGAATTTGTTCTTCTTGTTCAAAAAATTTCGAGAAATACGATGATCAGCGCCAAATATTTGATTTTAATTTACTTTGTGTAAAAAATTATAGAAAATGGTAGAAGATAAAAGACTGTATACTTGACTTTGATTGACGTTTTTTTTTATTTATTTATTTAGATCTGAAATTATAATGTTTTGCCCCATTTTAACATTTCAGTTTGATAATAATTTATATCGGGTCTTCAAAAAAAAAACCAATCGAAGATTGCTTTGACTACGAAAACGTACGTCGCATTACTGTTTCTTTATTCGTCAGGATTTTTGACAGGACATTTTGACATTAAATTTCATTGACAAAATTAAAGACAAATATTGCTAAGACATACGTTTAAAAAACCATAGCAATCTTTGATTGGTTTTTTTTTTGAAGACCCGATATTTTTGGAAATATAATCAAATTGCATTTATTACTTTTTGGGTTTCTAATTAGGTATATTCAGACAAAAAAAAAATAGATCAAAGACATTTTTATCATTAATAATTTGTTTTGAAAGAAGAAAGGAAAAAAAAGTTAAGTTACGCTTCCAAGAAAAAAAACTTTATAATTTCGTCTCAAAAAGGTTCTTAACTTTCTTTTTACTTTTTGAAATAAGATCCATCAAAAAAAGTTTCAATAATAATCAATTATTCTCGCCTTACCTATATCAAACAAATTTGACTGCACAAACTCTATATTTCACTTAAACTCACTCCTAACTTTTCGTTAACTGGATTATTATCCCAAAAAACAATGCGCTCTCGTCACCATTGTTTAAATATCATAATTAAAACATCCTCCTAGAGCGGATTAGATTCAAAATATAAACGCGCTTCCCGTATGCATTTATACCACGAGCCTCTTAAAATATTCTGGCTCATAAAATTCTATGATTCAACAAAATTATTCGATAAGGCGCCTTATCTTATTTACTTTTTTTAGCATTATGGCTCGTGAGGTTTCATTGTTTTTGTTGTCAGTTTATTATATACTGGGTGTCCAATTAATTCTTTGATTTTATCTTACAAAAGTTTTTGGTGTTGATGAATGGAAAGAAAATATATTTCGACAGAAAGAAATTAATGTTGTACAGGGTGGGCATTTTATTAGGGGCCTATGTCTTTTCTCAGAAACTACAGGGTGTACAAAAAAAATATAAATACAAAAGTTTCTTGGTTTTAAGCAATGTTATCAATTATTTGAGTTTTATTTATACAGGGTGTCCCAAAAGTGCTGCACCGACTTCAAAATCAGAATTTTAAATAGGACACCTTGTAAATTTTCACATTTTTGGATTCCCGGAGAAAAATAAAGGTAACTTTCATAAGGACTCCCTATTCGAATTTTGTGTAATTTAGGCAGAAATTGAGGTTATGTGTTTTTTTTTAGTAAATGTATGCCCTCAGCAAATAGTGTCTTGTGCGGCTGGTAGTTGAGATTATTTAATAAAATTTTAACCACACCTTAAGAAGACTACCTCTCAACGATTTACGATATCTGGGTGCTTTAAATTTATACAGGGTTTCTCAGATCATAGGACATTTTTTTCAATTTTCAATATCCAAGTTTTTTTTAATAGACCCTATATTTGATATTTTTTTGTTAAAAAGGCTAAAAATACCTATCCATTCATATGTCCTATACCTAAATCTAATAGTTCACGAAATATTTAGACCACTTACTTCATCGCAATATGTCTTCCATTTTGAGCTATGCATGTAGTGTATAAACAGCCTCTAAATGGTTTATAGCATTAGACACACACTTTATTAAAGGATGATAATATCATAAACAAATTGGTCCAAATATTGGTTTAGCATTCAATAGAGTAGCACATATTTGTCGCAATGTAAATTATGGATGATTTTTACGAACTTTACATGCAAATGGGGCATAATTTTTCTTTATTTATCTATATATTCATATTGGATGAGGATTATACTATAGATCATACTATTTAACAGAGACATGAATATAGGGTGTTCCATTAAAAAAAAATTTGGATATTGAAAATTGAAAAAAATGTCCTATGATCTGAGACACCCTGTATAAATTTAAAGTACCTAGACATCGTAGATCGTTGGAAGGTAGTCTTTTTAAAGTGTGGTTGAAATTTTATCAAATAATCTCAACTACCAGCCGCACAAGACACTATTTGCTGAGGGCATAAATTTGCTAAAAAAATACATAACCTCAATTTCTGCCTAAATTACACGAAATTCGAATTCGGGAGTTCTTATGAAAGTTTCCTTTATTCTTCTCTGAGAATCCAAAAATCTAAAAATATACAAGGTATCCCATTTAAAATTCTGGTTTTGAAGTCGGTGCAGCACTTTTGGGACACCCTGTATAAATAAAACTCAAATAATTGACAAAATTGCTCAAAACCAAGAAACTTTTCTATGTATATTTTTTTTGTACACCTTGTAGTTTCTGAGAAAAGACATAGGCCCCTAATAAAATTCCCACCCTGTACATGATACGATAAGGTATTTTTGTAAAATATTTCGTACGCACATGGTTTACGTGAGTCCACCCATTATAGACCCAAAATGGTCGGAGTCAGTAATCCCATAGACGTACCGTTTCCAAATAATCATTGTTAAAACTTACAAAACATCCATTGAACCTGTAAAAGTTTAAATTTCAATATCCCAATATAAAAACTGTAGTATCTATTTTAAAAAAATTCCAAAAAATCTTATCTCATTAGCTCAAAAACTCCTCAAAATTGAGTCAAGTGCAGAACAAATGTCTTTATCTCTTTCTTATACAAGCTGGTAGAAAAAGAAACAAATACTCTCAGTGCGCACTCCTAACCCTTCCAATAGAATTCACTATGAGTAGGCTTTGGAAATCTCTATTGCCATATCGGTGTTACAGGTATCTTGTTTGAATGCCAAATTCAAACTTTGAAATTTTCCAAGGCCTACTTTGTCGCTTGTCAAATTGTCGTGTTGCTACATCGATATCGATTACCAGCGTTGCCAACTCGAAGAAATGTTGTTCTTATTACAGGTTCTTGAATTATCTTTGTTTGAACACATTAAGAGGAGATCCAAGAGACAAAAATTGACACAAGTGCAGAACAAATGTCTTTTTATCTCTCTTTCATACAAGCTGGTAGAAAAAGACACGAATACAATCAGTGCACACTACTAACCCTTCCAATAGAATTCACTATGAGTAGGCTTTGGAAATATCTATTGCCATGTCGGTATTAAAGGTGTCTTGTTTGGGCGCCAAATTCAAACTTTGAAATTTTCTAAACCCTACTTTGTCGCTTGTCCAATTGCCGTGTTACTACATCGATATCGATTAACAGAATTGCCAACTCAAAGAAATGTTGTTTTTATTACAGGCTCTTGAATTATCTTTGTTTGAACACATCTATAGGAGATTCAAGAGACAAAAATTGAGAGAAGTGCAGAACAAATATCTTTTTATCTCTCTCTTATACAAGCTGGTAGAAAAGGAAACGAATACTCTCAGTGCGCACTACTTACCCTTCCTATACAATTCGCTGTTAGTAGGCTTTGGAAATATTTATTGCCATGTGGGTATTTGAGCGCTAAATTCAAACTTTGAAGTTTTCCAAAGCCTACTTTGTCGCTTGTCAAATTGTCGTTTTGCTACATCGATATCAGTTAACAGCATTGCCAACTTAAAAAAATATTGTTTTTATCACAGGCTCTTGAATTATCTTTGTTTAGAGTAACTTAGAAAAAATTCAAGAGCCGGTAATAGGAAAAAATTGAAACAAGTTATCTCTTTCGTATACAAGCTGGTAGAAAAAGATACGAATACACTCAGTGCGCACTACTAACCCTTCCAATAGAATTCACTATGAGTAGGCTTTGGAAATATCTATTGCCATGTCGGTATTAAAGGTGTCTTATTTGGGCGCGAAATTCAAACTTTGAAATTTTCCAAAGCCTACTTTGTCGCTTATCAAATTGACGTGTTACTACATCGATATCGTTTAACAGCGTTGCCAACTGAAAGAAATGTTGTTTTTATTACAGACTCTTGAATTATCTTTGTTTGAACACATCTGATTCAAGTGACAAAAATTGAGACAAGTGCAGAACAAATGTCTTTTCATCTTTTTCTTATACAAGCTGGTAGAAAAAGAAACGAATACCCTCAGTGCGCACTCCTTACCCTTCTAATACAATTGGCTATTAGTAGGCTTTGGAAATATTTATTGCCATATTGGTATTTTAGGTGTCTTGTTTGAGCGTGCGTGCGTACTCACCCTTGCAATATGAGGTCTGTTTTGCAGAAATCACAAACCAGTCAGAGTGAATTTCATTGATTGAATCTAGTTTTCTAACTGTTTTCATCCAATGAAATACGCTCTGACTGGTTTGTGATTTCTGCAGAAACAGACCTATAGAATTCGCTATTAGTAGATTTTGGAAATATCTATTGCCATGTCAGTATTACAGGTGTCTTGTTTGGGCGCCAAATTTGAACTTTGAAATTTTCCAAAGCCCACTTTGTCGCTTATTAAATTGCCGTGTTGCTACATCGATATCGGTTAAACAACGTTGCCAACTTGAAGAAATTTTGTTTTTATTACAGGCTCTTGAATTATCTTTGTTTGAATACATTAAGAGGAGATTCAAGAGACAAAAATTGACACAAGTGCAGAACAAATGTCTTTTAATCTCTCTTTCATACAAGCTGGTAGAAAAAGACACGAATACAATCAGTGCGCACTACTAACCCTTCCAATACAATTCGCTATTAGTAGGCTTTGGAAATATCTATTGCCATGTCGGTATTACAGGTGTCTTGTTTGGGCGCCAAATTCAAACTTTGAAATTTGCCAAAGCCTACTTTATCGCTTGTCAAATTGCCGTGTTACTACATCGATATCGTTTAACAGCGTTGCCAACTCAAAGAAATGTTGTTTTTATTACAGGCTCTTGAATTATCTTTGGTTGAACACATCTATAGGAGATTCAAGAGACAAAAATTGAGACAAATGCAGAACAAATGTCTTTTTATCTCTTTCTTATACAAGCTGGTAGAAAAAGAAACGAATACTCTCAGTGCGTACTACTTACCCTTCCAATACAATTCGCTATTAGTAGGCTTTGGAAATATTTATTGCCATGTGGGTATCCTAGGTGTCTTGTTTGAGCGCTAAATTCAAACTTTGAAATTTTCCAAAGCCTACTTTGTCGCTTGTCAAATTGACGTTTTGCTACATCGATATCAGTTAACAGCATTGCCAACTTAAAAAAATGTTGTTTTTATTACAGGCTCTTGAATTATCTTTGTTTAGAGTAACTTAGAAAAAATTCAAGAGCCGTTAATAGAAAAAAATCGAAACAAGTATAGAACAAATGTCTTTTTATCTCTTTTTTATACAAGCTGGTAGAAAAAAAAAAGAATACTCTCAGTGCGCACTACTTCTTTCAGTAGGATTCACTACGAGTAAGCTTTGGAAATGTCTTTTGCCATGTCGGTATTACAGGTGTCTTATTTGGGCGCCAAAGTCAAATTGTCGTGCTGCTACATCGATATCGATTAACAGCGTTGCCAACTTAAGGAAATGTTGTTCTTGTGTTATTATAGGCTCTTGAATTATCTTTGTTTGAACACATTTAGGCCCAGTTGAACAATCTTGGTTCACAACAGAGTTCAGCTGAACTTGACTGGTACTTGAACTTTTCCATTTGGATGCATGGCTGTCAAAATTGACAGAATTTGATTATTAGCTGACAGCAATGTATTTTGAATGGGAAAGCTCAAGTACCTACCAGTCGGGTTTAGTTGAACTTTGTTTTGAATCGAGATTGTACAACTGGGTCTTAGAGGAGATTCAAGAGCCTGTAATAGATGAAAATTGAGACAAGTGCAGAACAAATGTCTTTTTTTATCTCTTTCTTATCCAATATAGTAGAAAAAGACACGAATACACTCAGTGCGCACTAACCCTTCCAATAGAATTCGCTATTAGTAGGCTTTGGAAATATTTAAGGCCATGTCGGTATTACAGGTGTTTTGTTTAAATGCCAAATTCAAACTTTGAAATTTTCTAAATCCTACTTTGTCGCTTGTCCAATTACCGTGTTACTACATAGGGCATTCCAGCAAAAAAAAATCAGTCAGGACTCACAATTTGATTGTGTTACACAAGTGTCACTCAGTCGAACACGCGTTATTAATATACATTTCTAAATAGACATTTTAAGTTGGACCAAACACGTTAACGTAATCTTTAAACGTATACCCTATAGCGTCCAGTGACCGTCGGTTCTCAGAAATCAGTGTAAGTTAAATTTTCACGTAAACGTTAACGTTATATCTTACAATCATGACCTAACCTCTAAATTTTGTTGTGAAAAGGACAAATTAAAAATAATTTTTTGTATTTTGATTATTTTAAATTACATGACAACTTTTTTTTAAGGTTAAAATACATTCGGCCAAGGTCGACACCGGCCATCTGGCTTTCGGGCCCACTCAGTTTAACGAACGTTTACGGATAAGGTACACCAGCTAAATAACGTGACACATTACACGCTATTTTTGGTGAAAAGAAACTGCGCATGCGCAGCTGTCAAATCTTAGCAGGGATGCCGTTTTTAGTACATTTGTACTAGATTCAGTACACTTCAATGTAATTTAGTACGTCAGTACACCATCGATAATTTTAGTACAATTAAGAGAAAATTACAAATCACTAATAGCGATTTCCATTTACAGAATCAGTGCAAAAAAATTTACCTAGCTATCTCTATCCTTGCATTTTATATGCTTTTAAAAAAAGATGCAGAATGCGAAAAACTGGTATTAATTGTAAGTATTATCGGGAGCCGTATCATGGTTTATTTGAATGAACGATGTCGCAACTCCAACTCAGAAATTACAAAAAAATTAGATTTCATTTTCCATTCACTAAACAAAGATAGCTAACTTATCGGTGGAGTCATCGATTAGAATAAAAACGAGGGGTTTTTTGTTACGTCACCCGCATAAATGCTTAAAACTGTTAGGTTAGATATCTAGTAGATTTTTAGGTAATTTAGTACAAATCATCGCCTGACTTCAGTACAAAATTGGTCTGTCTCGCGGCAACACTGAATCTTAGTTAGCGTTAACGTTATCAGGAAGTTTTCGATTCAGCTTCGATGGTATTTTATAAAATTTAACGTTTTCGCGTTCTCCCCTACTACTACATTTCACTACATAACAAAATGCAGGCATTTAACCAATATTTTTGCGCACTTTAACATTTGCCTGCCCTGGCTAACTTTTGATAGACGCCATTTTTGACAGATCGTTGGAATGCCCTATTGATATCGATTAACAGCGTTGCCAACTTGAAGAAATATTGTTTTTATTGCATGCTCTTGAATTATCTTTGTTCAGAGTGATTTAGAAAAGATTCAAGAGTTGGGTAAAAGAGACGTTAGTATAAATTTAATAAGATATCTTCTTGAATGCGCAAAAAACAATAGTAAGATAAGAATAAAGCCTATTAAAAGTGCTGCGAAACTGCTGTTGGAAATTCTATATAAGAAAGTAGTACCTACAATTATTATTCTTCAGAATCTTAAAAAATATATATACCTACTGCTTAATATATTTGAAACACTGTGTATTTATCTGGAGTTTGAAAATTTAATAATTTGGTTATATTCATATTGTTGCGGACGAACACATTTCCATTTTAATCAAGAGCATTCCTGGTAAACCTAAATAAATCCATTATGTATTATCTGGTATTATTAACAATAATATCCAAATTTTCGGAATTCAGTCACAGTCTATTTCCAATTATCATTCCTAAACATTATTTGATTGTATCAAAGCTTTATTCAATCTAATTTAAGGCAATTATTAAAAACAATTTTAAAATTTACGGGGTTTAATGCATTGAAAACCTAAAATAACTTCTGCAGAAAGCTAAAAAATATTCTCAAAAAAGAATGAAATGTCTAACGAGAACAATAAAGTCAGTTTTCTTTTCTAGGCGAATTATTAAGAGACACGGACAACAAATTAGACATCGTGGCGATAAAAGTACTAAAAGAATCGGCAACCAAAGAAGCCGAAGAAGATTTCTTCCGAGAAGTCGACATCATGAGCACCTTCCAACACCCAAACATCCTATCATTCGTCGGCGTAGTACTGCGAGGTAACCCCCAATCAAATACAAACGCAACCTCAAACACAAAAGAATACATTTTAGAAGGCACCTCTTGCGGTACCATCAACCCGATGATGGTGTTCGAATACATGGAGCACGGCGATTTGGCCGAAGTGCTGAGAAGTCAGCACCGAATGTCATCAGGCAGTAGTACCGGCAATAGTCCGGTACTTAGCGCAGCCGATTTATTGAGTGTGGCGCTGCAAATCGCTTGCGGTATGGAGTACTTGGCAGCGCAGCGTTTTGTCCATCGAGATTTGGCTTGTCGGAATTGTTTGGTTGCTGAGGGACCTGTTGTCAAAATTGCTGATTTTGGTATGAGCAGGGATGTTTATACTTGTGATTATTATAAGGTAAGAATTATTGTTTTCGATTATAGAAAATTTCATTCCCATTTTTGCTTATCCTGTCTTTTCCAGATATTTTGCTTGAATATTTCCTCTCTGTTTCCAGGCATCGTTTAATTAAGTTTTGCTAGATGTTAAAGGAACCTAAACTCCATATAATTAAGCCTCTTGTTTGAAAGTAATGCCTGCAAATCCTATTAAGTTTTTCGAAATGAGTTTCGTTAATGGAGGATTTCGAAATTTTAGGAACGTGAAAAGGAGAGATTGAATTTATTTTCAATCTATATTCGAAAATCAGTTCAGAGTGATTTATATAATCCAGCAAAGCGATATCGAGAAATTCATTCCTGAAAAGGTTTCTTATGTTTGTTAATTTTAATAACTGTAGACGTAAGGAATTTTTTATTTTTAGCTTTTGAGGTTTTCTCTTAGATATATTTTATTCAGTGCGAATATTCTTATTAAAAATAAATCATGTATTTATTTGTATTCCAGATTGGAGGTTCGAGGTTGCTGCCAGTCAGATGGATGTCTCCGGAAAGTGTCGTTTACGGCCGCTTCACCTTGGAATCCGATATATGGTCCTATGGAGTTATTTTATGGGAAATATACAGTTTCGGCAAACAGCCTTATTATGGACACAGCAACGAAGAGGTAAATAGATTACTATCGAAAAAAAGCTAAATTGAATTGACTTTCAGGCACAAAAGAGGGATTATCCCTGGAAAATTCCATTGTGCATATGCATTTATATCGATAACACAATTTTCCAGGTTGTTAAACTGATCCTGGATGGTATAATGCTGATTCCTCCCGAAGATTGTCCAGCGTTAATTTGCGAACTGATGAAAAATTGTTGGAAAACTGAACCGAAACATCGGGCCACGTTTACTTTTATCAAGGACGTCCTGGACGAGGCTTACTATAATAAATCTATGGAGAAAAAGGATGTTAGTCTTAAGGTAAGAAGTCTATTTATAAGGGTGGTTGCGTCTTTATTTGACAAATTATGTTTTTATAACACAAATTTCGTAATTTCGCTCTCAAAATATGGAGAAAGTAGTTAATCCTAAAATATTTCAGTCTACAATTATTATGGCCAAAAATTCAATATTAATTATTATAAAGTTTTACTGATATGGTAAATCCCATTAAAGAGTAGGGCAAATTTCACCACATGATAATATTAGATGAACGATAATTGAATTATGTAACTTCGTGCAATTAGTCTGGACCCGAACTTTAAAACGTTGTTTCAATTGGGTTAAAATAATGGCTGAGGCTGACCTACAGTAAAGAGTATCTAGTACATTTATGTGAGGATAAATAGGGAAAAATCATTATTGAGTTTCGGTATTTAGAAATTTTTAAAAATCGATTATTTTTGCTGTTTTTCTCATTTCACAATAATGCGATTTTGTCTGACTTCCATTCAAATTCTGGATCTAAAGTAAAATGTCTTGCATGTAAAATTTACCGAATAAACTAGTTTATGTACTTTAGGGACTAAAAGTATTCTTTTAGTGCCTATTTTCAGGGACTAAAGTGGCACTTTTTTTCCCTAGGGAGTAAAAACGATTTTAATCCCTAAGGGATTAAAAATGATTTTAATCCCTATAATAAATAGGTATGTAAGCAATATTGCATTAGTACATATTAGAATTAAAAACTCAGGTAACTATAAAACGCTACTAATTTTTATTGATATTTACGTTTATGTTAACTCCACTATACAACTAAGTAGATAAGTTTAAAAAACCTTTTCTTCAATAATATCTTCCACGTCCTGTTCTTGACACCATTCTGTGTAGTCGGCTAACTGTTTTTGATACAAATCTCGGGATTTTTTCGGTAGTAACTGCCCTATAGCCTCTTTCGCAGCTTCAATTCAGTTCAATATTTTCCATGTTTCTGCTAATAGGCCGTCGGCGGAGAAGCGTTTGCGTTCAAAAACCCGGTATTGAGGTATAATTTATTGAGTGTTAATTTTAGTGGCATGCATACGCATAAATTAAAAGTTGATGAAAAATTTTCTTGTCTCGACTGGGATTTGAACCCAGGACCCCTACATTTCCAGTGTAATGCTCTACCAACTGAGCCACCGAGACCTGTCTCATTTCTACCCAGTCGATCAAGTCAACCAGATGCGTTGTCGACGCATCTGGTTGAAGGGATAATGGATTCCAAACAACCATTAATTGCGAATGTGTTCCCCATACCTCCTAACTCACTCCCATACCAACGGTAACCGCCGAAGGTTGCCGATGGTCACAAACTAACAACTCGCTCACGCGCATATACCCCAAGTTCACTTTTACAGTTGAGACCCGTCCATTGGACCACACTGCCCGGCAAGGCACAACATTTTATCTATTTATTAAAAATCAATGAAAAGTGGGGTTTTTTAATACCTTTTCCCCACAGAAGGGCGCTGCGCGCTCTACAACACCAACTCTAAGCGTTCAACTAATATCTTTGAGTAGGCCAGTATAATGGCCCAATGCTTACCATCCGTGGTAGATACCAGCGACCCCAGGGTCATTTAAACGGCGTGTTAGGGCAACCGGGTAACGTCGTGGAACAGTTTAAAAGCAAGAATGGGATTAGGGGCTTGATAGGTCAGAACATCGACCGCCAACTGGCAAAGCACCACACAGCGCGCTAGGCGCGCAGTGGTGCGCAGTATGCTGCGCATACTGAGTGTTAGTTTGTAAGTCTATGTCCTAGGTTAAGAAATGTATTGTTATTATTTGTAGTTAGAGGGGGAACTAACCTCCCGGCCTGTGAATGTAACAAAACTGTGTAATTTATTAAATAAAGAATTTTGAGTTGAGTTTAATTTATGCGTCTGCATGCCCTAAAATTAACACTCTTTAAATTATATAACAGACGATAAAAACTCTAAATAAATTATAATTTATTGAGACTAGTATCAAATGATTCAGCATATTTTTCTGCATATGAAATCGAAATGGATGACTTTTTTCATTGGTCGAGAGCCAAGCAAAAAACTAAAAATATACGGAAACTAAAATGTCCAACTTTAACCTCGTATAACTTCTAAACCGCTTAAGGTAATAGAATGATTTATCTTCTAGATTCTAGACAAAAATATTCGCTTTAATATGGTGTATATATTATTTGAAACATATCGAAGTAGAGCTCAAAAAATCAGTTATTTCGTAGACACGGGGCGATTGAATAAAATATATGTTTGCTTTAACCTGCGATAACTCCTTTATATATAGGAGTATTCAATTAATTTTTTGCTCAAAAACTGGCAAATTTAATTGGCTTTCTTTTGACTCAATTATATACCGACCTATTTTCAATAATAAACTCAATAGAGCCGTTTAAACACAGCAAAGCGTGGTCTGGCGGCAGAAGTTGTGTGGCTCCCCTCTCATTCCCGCTGTCCGCTGACAACCACAGGTATGGATTAAAACATTACGTGTGCGACGCCTAGACTGCATGACAGTCAATTTTCCTTGTTTATAGAACTTTGTGTTCTATTTTTGAAAAGTCTAATTTATAGGGTTCTCATATCATCAGGAAGTAGTAAAAAGCTAACTGAAAATTATCGAGAATTTTTGGGAAACTTGTAAGTACGAACGCACTTAAGTTAAAAAAGAGAACGGGTGCACGCCAAAATCCCGTTATTTCAAGTGTGATTGGTCTAAGTCAGGATCTACTCGTTAAATTAATTGTTATATTCAACACGTGAATGAAATTGAAATTATCCCTCTTTTTCGCTTACGTAGGTAGGTATAGTATTTTTAATCCGAACTGAAACACTAAAAAAACATCTAGTTGGCATACATCAAACAAATTAAAGACATGGCCGTCACATAATTTTTATTTCTTTAAATGGTGATAATCAAAGTCAAAAAACACAACTAAATAATACGTGAAATAAAACAGCAAGTAATATACCTATTGATCCTCTATTGAGGACTTTCGAAGGACCACCCTTTATTATAGGTCAAAGAGAACCCAAACACATTAACGAGAATTAAGACTTTAATTGATTAACCATTTATTGCGGTACAAAACGAATTTTTAATTGATTATTATTGAAACAACAACAACGTGATGTCGTGACATGCTCTAGAATTCGTCTCTTCTTATTGGTCGCGCCGAGCGATCCTATTGGTCGCGCTGAGCGATCCTATTGGTCGCTTGCCGTTCTTCCTGCAGCTGTTCTTGCGCGTTGCCAGATCCTTTTGAGTTGCTAGGTTTATTACGGCGTTGCCATGTTTAAGAATGTTGCTACACTTTTGTTCAATGTAACAGTCTGATATAAGAAATTTGATTTGAATGTTCAAATAGATTTGAATGTCCAAACACCTATAAATTGGGATGACACTAGTTACTAGTTATAGATAACGCGTATAGTCTAGTCAGCCAGGTACCCGCATCCTTCCCGAAAAGAAGAAAAGTAAGTAGCCCACCCCAGTAATTCAATTCATAGGCGCATGCCGACCTAAATTATTATTTTGGGCTACTGTCGCGATATTTCGTCGCTTCCTATATTTTGTACAGGGAAACTTTACAATAGATTTTCTATGAAATTAAGAGAAGAGAGCGACGTGATGTTGAAATATCCTCCTATAATGCAGTGTTTCAAGTCAGAAAAAAAATACTATACTACTTTACATTTTTTCATTTTGTAGGCGGACTAACATTGACGTCATGGATAATGTTTGTGTTTTATGTTGGAAAACATTAACGGCAGAATCACCTAGCTTTTCAAAAAGCCAACAAAACAGGGCTACTTGACAATTTTTCCTGCAGCAGAAAAAAAAAGATGCTATTTCTTCACAGATATTGTGAAGAAGAAAATAAATAAACGCTAGCTATATTGACAAGATAGTGAAATTAAATAACCCAAACATAACCAAAGTATTTCCATCAAGCAGCGGTCATAGTGATAGAAAGAAGTTTAATATAAAAGCTGACTGCTTGATTTGTGGTAAAAGCGGCACCAATAAAAAGAAAAACTTAATATAATATCTTTGTACTTAAGGGACTAAAAATATTCTTTTAGTCCCTATTTTCAGGGACTAAAGTGGCACTTTTTCTCCCTAGGGATTAAAAACGATTTTAATCCCTAAAATAAATAGGTAGGTAAGCAATATTGCATTAATACATATAAGAATTAAAAACTCAGGTAACTATAATAGTATATTGTTCATCTTAGCAACTTGTCACAACACACCGAGATTTCGATTTTTGAATAACATGTTGATGTCAAATAAGATGCATTCATTTTTTCACATGACATGTCATCATCATAACCACGTTTTGTAAGAGTATGGTCAAGTCAAGTCAAGTAAGTGGCATTTAATTATCTTTTTTTTACAGTGTTTCTATCCTCTAAAGTACATAAAATAGTAACGACGAATTGTAGCCCTCCCTTCGGTCGGGCTACAAATTTTTCGCCTCGGGATAAAAAGAGTCACTTTAGTCCCTAGGTAATATACTATTATAGATGTACCTACTAATGTACAGGTACAGTAGTACCCGAGAAAAGATTTTTACAAGCGCTTTACAAATAATGATGTTATGCAAGGTAGAATGAATTTGTATACTGATCTTTTCGCTGCGGATGCAAAGTATCACAGTGTCTTTGAATCTTTCGGGTTTAGCGTTTCTTTCTTTTCTTCGTGACAATATCTGTAAAGAAATAGCATCTTCTCTTTTATCTGCTGCAGAAAAAATGGTCGCGAAGGACTGTTTTGTTGGCTTTTTAACACAAGGTAATTCCGCCGTAAATATATTGCAACATAAAACACAAACAATATCCATGACGTCAATGTTAGTCCGTCTACATAATGAAAAAATTTGAAGTAGTAGTAGCTACGTAAAGCGTAAAAGAGGGATACTTTCATACATCTCTTGAATATAACAATTAATTAAACGAGCGATAGATCCTGACAGACCAATCACACTTGAAATTACGGGATAATTATTAGATAGGTACCGATAACTTATTATCGGCTCAGAGAACCACCACCTACCTATTTAATTAATTTTTAGTTTTGACGTGCACTCGTTCTCTTTTTTAACTTAAGTGCGTTCGACTTACAAGTTTCTCAAAAATTATCGATAATTTTCAGTTCTTTTCATGTTACTATAGTCTATTTCATTGCAGTTGATAGTTCAAATCGAAGTTTAGGACCATGAAGACATTTTAGAACTATTGTAAACCATTAGGTTCACAATGACTTTATGGTCCTAAACCTCGTAGTAGTATTGTCTTTGACTATACTTACTGATAATCCAGGTATTCTTTCGATCTGAACAAACTGATCGAAGTCACTTGAGGTTTGATTCAAACAACTGTCATCTGATTTTACTACGATTTCATTGGCTCGAATTGTTTTTTTGACGCTCATAAACAAACCTGATGTGATTACATCAGTATGTTGAGTTTGTTCAGATCGAAAAAATATCTGTAATTATCATCTTACCTGTGCAAACTCTTTATTCAAGCAGAACCCGATAAACTAGACTTTTCATAAATAGAACACAAAGTTCCATAGACAAGGAAAATTGACTGTCGCATTCTACGGCGTCGCACATAGTTTTTTAATTCATGCTCGTGGTTGTCAGCAGGCAGCGGGAATGAGAGGGGAGCCACACAATTTACGCCGTCAGACCGCTCTTTGTTGTGTTTGAACGGCTCTATTGAGTTTATTATTGAAAATAGGTCGGTATATAATTGCGTCAAAAGAAAGCCAATTAAATTTGCCAGTTTTTGAGCAAGAAATTAATTGAATACTCCTATATATAAAGGAGTTATCGCAGGTTAAAGCAAACATATATTTTATTCAATCGCGCCGTGTCTACGAAATAACTGATTTTTTGAGCTCTACTTTGATATGTTTCAAATAATATATACACCATATTAAAGAGAACATTTTTGTCTAGAATCTAGAAGGAAAGTCATTCTATTACCTTAAGCGGTTTATAAGTTATACGAGTTTAAAGTTGGAAATTTTAGTTTCCGTATATTTTTAGTTTTTTGCTCCTAACTTAGCTCTCGACCAATGAAAAAAGTCGTCCATTTCGATTTCATATGCAGAAAAATATGCTGAATCATCTGATACTAGTCCCAATAAATTATACCTCAATACCGGGTTGCTCCTTAAAACGAACGCTTTTACGCGCTTCGCCGCCGTCTTATAATGAATATTGCTTATTTTCAATAAATGAAGTTTTGACAATAATTGAATTTGTTAGCGTAAACTGACTTTTGTTCATCTTAGCAACTTGTTACAACACACCGAGATTTTGATTTTTGAGTAAAATATTGATGCCAAATAAGGTGCATTCATTTTTTCACATGACATGTCATCATCATAACCACGTTTTGTAAAGAGTACGGTCAAGTCAAGTCAAGTGGCATTTAATTATTATTTTTTTTACAGTTTTTTTATCCTCCAAAATACATAATAGTATATTATATACCTAGGTAGAGAAGTAGGTCATTATATACCGAGCGCTTTATAACGCATGAGGTATATAATGACTTTCTCTACCGAGGACTATACCGGGTGGTCCTCCGGGAATGACATCGATTGCTTATGGGAAAACTGTGAAAGGTAAAAATTTGAAAATTTGGCAACATAGCAATGTCGATGGGGGACATCTAGGTAAAATATTTTCAAGATGGCGGCATTTCCGGTCATACCGGAAGTTGATACCAACTCGGTTATTTTAAATAGAACACCCCATATATTAATGTATTTTTGGATTCTACATAAAATTCTGAGCAGATTTCATGTAATATACCCTATACCTAAGTTCAACTGTTTTGGAAATATTGACAGTTGAAAATTGACTTTTTGCAACTTTGACAAGCTGTAAAACCTAATTGGTTAATTTTAGAGGAAAACCGATTTCACATTCCTATCTTAGATTTTGATAAACTATCATTTGACACCAACTTTGAACTTAAACGGAGATTAAATTTAACTGAAATTTTTAATCATGGATTTAATTCAAAGTTGATGTCAAATGATAGTTTATAAAAATCTAAGATAGGAATGTGAAATCGGTTTTCCTCTAAAATTAACCAATTAGGTTTTACAGCTTGTCAAAGTTGCAAAAAGTCAATTTTCAACTGTCAATATTTCCAAAACAGTTGAACTTAGGTATAGGGTATATTACATGAAATCTGCTCAGAATTTTATGTAGAATCCAAAAATACATTAATATATGGGGTGTTCTATTTAAAATAACCGAGTTGGTATCAACTTCCGGTATGACCGGAAATGCCGCCATCTTGAAAATATTTTACCTAGATGTCCCCCATCGACATTGCTATGTTGCCAAATTTTCAAATTTTTACCTTTCACAGTTTTCCCATAAGCAATCGATGTCATTCCCGAAGGACCACCCTGTATAGAATTTTTTTGAAAATTAAAAATTTGTTGAAAATCTGTGCTCTATTTATTTTCTTTGAACGCCCTCTTGAAAATGCTGCCCTCTATCAACAGATCATGATAACTTCCTATGTGCCTACAGAAACCTGTATTTTTTTTAAATTGCCGTATGAAATTGAAATTGAACCAATGGAAACATGACAATATCCTTGCGTCATGACATCATTTTCATTATTGACCTAGGTATTTTTTCATTATTTTCATTATTCACCTAGGGAGAGAAATTCAATTATTTCCTAGAAAAATAGATTGAATAATGACTATTTCTCAGGTTAGTAGTAAAAAAAATAGTATATACGTATACCTTGGGACTAAACTGTTTTTTTATCCCTCGACAAATTTTTCGCCTCGGGATAAAAAGAGTCACTTTAGTCCCTAGGTATATAATATACTATTTTCGGGATTTTCACGGTCAGGACAAAAACTATCGGTACAAATACGTGTCGGAAAAATACGTGTGTTTTGAGATTTTCCAATTTTTGAAGTTACCAATCGAAAGAGAGGATCTAAATCAATGGAAAAACATTTTCGTGATGTTTCTGTTTGAAGCTTAAACACCTGTAAAAAATTAGAAATTATTTTTGCATTTTTAATCCTGAAAAATTTTGATCATGCGACATTGGCACTTAAAATCGCTCATAACTGAATTAATATTTTACAAATTCTTATGCATATTTATACATTCTCACTCAGAATTAAATGCTCTTCAAGATAAAATAAAATTGAATTATTTATCTTGAACAGATTTTGAGATATTAAGCCTCAAAGTCAATTATCTCTGGTTTCCTAATTAATAATTAATATTCACATAAGATTAACGTTAATATGATATTAAAGACGTTTCACTCTCATATATTAAGCAGATTCTTAAATGAAAATATTGTGCAAGTACATCCTATATTCATCAATCATTTTTGATTTTACTCTTGCATAATTTACAATACGATTATGGCTGGAAGTTTTAAAATCACAACCCCAAAAAATTTGATTGACATCCTTCCAACCAAACCTCTACAATATTATTCTGAAAAATAAAAACGGCCCCTTTTTTATGTTTGTCTTCAATATTTTTTGTTTGTTTTTACTCAAAAGTTTTTAAAAAAAATATACATTTCCAATTAACTGAAGTGGGCCCTTTTTGGTTAATGGAAAATTAGCCCAGCCTAAAGCGATCATCAATAACACTGATGAAGCTTTATTATTAAATTCTGGATATTTCCCAAAGTTTTCCAATATTGGAAAGATCAAAAAATATATATGCAATAATAAATACATTTTGCCACGAAATTGAAATTTTTTCAATAGAAATTTGCAATAGAAAAACAGCATTGTAATAAACTCCAATAATTGTCTTTGGTTTACTATTTCTCGGCTCGATGTTATTTCAATTTCGAATTTTATTTGTACCCGACTAGATATTTGATTGGTTTATTTTTTCAATAGAAAAAGCTTACCGACATCGACGGCGGGCACGTTTCAATCAAAAACGAAAAACGGACCAACCATAAACCCAAAACCCTACCCCGACCGCCGCCACTTCCTCGACCCGTTTCCAAGCCCGATCTTTTGGATTCGCAAGGCTACTTGGTACCCAGAGAGATTAAGGAACCAGTGCAGTACCTACAGACTTTGCCCGGGGATTGAGTTTTGGATAAATGTGTGAAGTGAGCTTTAGATTAGGTAGTTACAAACTTATCAGGGTATTCAGGAACTTATACAGGAACTAATGCAGTCAGTGTGTTTTCAAGCAATAAAAGACGAATTTAAATAGTGTATACAGGGTATAAGTCAACTTCTAAATTATACTGTTTTATTTTAATGTTTACAAATTCAAGAGTCGAGATATGCCATCCAAGTTATGTTCAAAATTACTGAGATTCATAGAGAATTATTTTAATTTCTGTTCAATCAAAGAAATTGTGACCTGAAAAGCCAGATACTAATTTCACAATTATTGAGATAACATACGGACAATATAAACCAGAAAAATAAAAAGAATGGTAGCTGTATCTCTTTAAAATGAAGTCAACTATGACCTGTGAGTGCCCCCTGTTAGTGAGCATCCCAACTGAGAGAGCAGATACGCCATCTATCAGAGAGAAATCTAATTAACTGGTGTCGCCCTCTATTAGAGAGATAGGTAGTTCTGAGCATTGTTGTTAGAAGCACTGAAATTTCTTCAAAAACCACTGCTTATGAGATTTTGGGATTCGGTCAATTTTCCTGAAAATTTGATATGATGCTCCTCTCAACATTCTGATCAAAAGTGTTCAAAGCCACAACTAGATCCTATTACTACATAGTTTTCGAGATAAAGGTAGTTTAATGTCCAAGAAATGCACACATTTTATTAAAAAAAAATATATGCATTTACATCTACCGGTCACCTGAGCATGGGGATACCTGTCAATCCTGGTATATTATTAGGTGACAGATAGATGTGATTGCATATAAAATGTGTGCATTTCTTGGATATTAAACTACCTGTATCTCGAAAACTAGTCATAGGGTCAACTTGTGGCTATGAACACTTTTAATCAGAATGTTAAGAGGAGCAGTGTTGCCAGGTCTACTGATTTATCAGTACATCTACTGATTTGGCCACTGGTCTATTGATATACTGATATCAATGTGAATTCTACTGATAAAAGCCATTATTTACCTGCGTTCGTGCGTGTTTGTGTTGTGTCTTGTTGTCTTATTTATTTGCCTTTTGCCTTGCCTTTTAGGCAACTAAAGGCATGCGTTGTTGTTGGCTAGTCTTAGTCAATTAGTCACATAGCGGTATGCTGTACAACTAACTGCAGCTTGTTTTACTTGTTTTTATAAGACTGAACTACTGCACAGGTACTCCCATTTGAAAAAAGCTGAATGCATGCAACATTTCACATTTCTGACATTCGATTTTTGTTTCTGACCATGGATTCTAAAAATTTAGCCAATACTGTACAACTTTTGTATTTACACCTTTGATCTAGTTGCAAAGGTGAAGGCTGTATTGTCTGGCTAGCGAAACGGCGAACTGCAAAAAAATTTGCTGCTTTGTCAAACTTGACGGAAATTAGAAACAAAATAATAAACAAGTTATTGACATTTTTTTTTTTTTTGCTATATGGGCATGTGTAATATTTTGAAATAGGAAAAAATCAGGCAACATTGCGAAATGATGGAAGTGGAGAGGCGTCATTATTCAGAAACAAGATTCTATTGGTTAGAGCCTGAACGACAGCACGCAGTGGCGTGGATATTGGCGAAACTAGAGAATCTTTTTTCTAATAATTTTATTGGTTTATTTCCTTGGTGTTTTCGGTGTCGCTGCGCTCGTTCCGCAGAGGTCTACCCATAAGTTCCGCAATAATCCACTTATTTGTACTTGAACAACAACTTATTATATAACCTAAAATTTGTAAGATTATGATTATTCACTTTTTGTCAATTCGTCTTTCAACAGAAATTAGTAATGTTACTTTACCAAACTAGTAATATATAGCAGCCATCTATTCATCAATATGTTGTTTAATTACGATATTAACCTGACTCACTCAAATATCAGTTATTCTCATTAGTTTAAAAACTACATGTTTCAGGTGAATGTTTTATTTGAACAATTCAACATTATATATTAGTGAGTAGATGGCTGCGGAACTCGCTGCGCTCGTCCCGCGGAGGTCCACCCATAATTTCCGCAACAATCCACTTCTTGGTACTTGAACAATAACTTATATAAAGTCAGAATTTGTAAGATTATCGACTTTTTGTCAATTCGCCTTTCAACAAAAATTAGTAATGTTTCTTTACCAAACTAGTAATATATTGTGTCAAGTTATTCAAGTATAAATGAGTGAATTGTAGCGGAACTTATGGGTGGACCTCTGCGGGACGAGCGCAGCGAGTTCCGCAGCCATCTATTCATCAATATGTTGTTCAATTACAATACTAACCTGACTCACTCAAATGTGAGTTATTCTCATTAGTTTAAAAACTACATGTTCCAAGTGAATGTCTTATTTGAACAATTCAATACTATATTGGTGAGTAGATGGCTGCGGAACTCGCTGCGCTCGTCCCGCAAAGGTCTACCCATAAGTTCCGCAATAATAAATAAATAAATAAATAAATAAATATGGTCTTTATTTTCCAGCAAAAAAAAATTAAATATTCACAATTCAAACCCGAACGGTACAAGAAAAAAAAACTGAGCCAGAAAAATGCCGAAGATCAGTTGACCAGCTTGAAAACAAGATGGCCTCTGCATTAAATCTTAAGCAAAAAATAAATAAAATAAAAATAATAACTTTTCCCAAACCTTAAGTCCTAATAATACTTATAAGCTAACTAACTATACTATATACCATATAAAATATAAATATAAATGTAAGTTCATACTTAATTATGTTTCCCCAAACTGCATGCTGTACAAAAAAAAAAAAAAAAAAAAACAAAACAAAAATGTGTGCCTACGGTACCTAATGTAAATGAACCTTGGATAAATCAGCAAGCAGACTTTCAATGACATGATTCTGTACTAACCGAGACATAGGTAAAGTTCAACAGCTGAGTAAAAAATTTTTGAAACCTTTTTTAAAACCTAATTCGGATTTCTCAATAAGCGAGGCAGGAACAGCATTGTATATTTTGGATATTTGATAAGTAAAACAACGTTTAAAAAATTCTATTTTATGCTTTGGAACCCTTATCCTGTTCACATTTCTCAAGTTCCGAGAGTGAGGATTTCTATTAAAAATAATTTTATTAAATAAATATGATGGCATTTTATTCAAAATAATTTTGTGGAAAAGGCATGCCGAAAGTAACTTCCGACGGTTAGCCATATTAAGCCAGTTTATTCGGGGATCCTTTAATTTGTGTGATATTGGGCAATCCACTTATTCGTACAGGGTGTTTATTTATATATTGACTACCTCCTTTTACAGCTGGAAAAAAGGTGTAAATACAAAAGTTGTACAGTTTTGGCTGAATTTTTAGAAATCATGATCAGAAACAAAATTTGAATGTCAGAAATGTGAAATTTTGCATACTTCTAGCTTTTTTCAAATGAGATGCCCTATATTTCATTCTATATTCTTGAAGAGCACAATGCCCCGATTCCAAAAATATATAGTTTGTCTATATTGGATTGAACAGTCTCTCATATATTTGGCTCCAAAAATTGTAAAAATAATATCCTACTATACTGATTTTGTGAACCATTCTACCTGTACAGGTGAAAGCTGTAGGTAAAATTTGAGGTAGGTACTTGGTTTCTCTGATAGTATTTTTAAAATTTTTGAACCAAATATATTGGAGCCGGCTCAACGAAATATAGACAAACCATATAGTTTTGGAATCGGGAAATTGTACTCTTCAAGAATATAAAACCAAATAATAGGGCATCCCATAGGTAGTGCATATTTAATAGGAATATCTCATGTGTCTTAATCTTAATAAACTATTTCTCATAAGTAGTATTGGTGTTTGATTTTCTAATGCAAGTTTTCATAGTCTAATACACAGTCTAATGATTTAATGATTTGAAAAAACGTAGAAACAATTAATTAAGTATACCCTAATGGTTTTAATAAGGCAACTTATCTGTCTACTGATTTCTACTGGTATTTAGACTGGTAATCTACTGACAAAACAATATATGACCTGGCAATGCTGGAGAGGAGCATCATATTAAATTTTCAGAAAAATTGACTAAACCCCAAAATCTCATAAGAAGTGGATCCTTTGATACAAGAAAAAATGCAGGCCTGGAATAGTAAAGAATAATTTTTTCTCTATTTGTCTTTTCTTTAGTTTCAATTTTCGACTATTCCTGGCTCTCGAATTTCTGTTCCCATCATACTTAATTTTTACAGTAGAATTAGGGAACAATCAAAAGCCTGGAATGAAATTTATTTCCATAAAAGAATCAACAAACAATCAAAAGCCTGGAATAGAAAAGAAAAATTATCAAATTTCCTTAAAACTCTTGTTTCTTCTCCTTAGTTTCAATTTTCAACTATTCCAGAATCTTGAATTTCTGTTTCCAACCAAATTTTTATAGGAGAATCAAAATGCTGTCAAACACAAAAGTGCTAAAGTCATTTGGATCAAAAACCCACTAAAAAATTACAAATCACACAAAATATAATATAATCTATTGTATATTGTAAATAAAGTGTTGTTGTAAATTTTTTGGTGCTAGTAAGTAGGTACTTAGTCATGATTTGTCTTTTTCAAAGTGTTGTATGAAATGTTTTTTATGAATTATTTATAAATGTTTTATCACTTTAAAAAAAAATTAACATAAACTATACATACAGGGTGATTCAATGTAAAGAACCTATCAAATATTTATGTTGCCATTTTACCGTTCTCCAATTTTTAATTATTTTCCATTTTTTTTTTTTTTTTCAAATAAAACTCAATGAAAGCCCTGGCATTATGGCTCAAAACTTCTAGAGACCCAAATCCTTTACTGAGGTTAATTATGGCCCAAAGGCTTTACAAACTTCAATCAAAAATAAGTTAGAGCAAACAGGGTGACTAAAGTGTTACGTTTAAATAAAACACGTTGCTTGAAATCACTGTAGTTTACTGAATTATAAAATAGGAAATATCACGATACACGTCAAATTGCAATTTGAATATTTAGAGTAAAGATGGACGAAACAATTTAATACATGTACCATCATCACCAAAAGTAACTGGGACACAAATAATGCATAATAATCTCCTGGACTAATTCTACTGTCATTCATTTCAATGCATTTAATGCATAGTTTGACAAGATCTAATGTGATGCTATCCCAGTTACTTTTGGTGACGATGGTACAGGGTTTTTTCCTCATAATTAGTGCGGCTCCTACAACCTAAACAAAAGAAAATACAAAAAAAAGTTTAATACAAAAGTTGTAGGGTTTTATGTTTTGCACATGTTAAAATGGGCTAATGACAGGTGCCTACTGTCAAAATGCAAGCACTTGCATTTTTTGAAACAGAACTCTCTGTATATTTTTGACTAGGATGATAGATTTTTTTCTTCTGATTCCAAATATACTATAAGGTGGAACAGACCCTGTACATCACGCGACAGTCACGAACCAAGAAAGAGACTTTTGGTTCTTGTCCTACAGTCAGAGGTTTTATCTAGTTGCGCCTGCCCAGAAGGGTAAAATTAGTTGTGACATTAAGAAAAATATTTTTATTTATTATTTATCAATTATAGCATTTGATGAATTTATTAAACATGCCTTTGATGACGTTGCCGAAAAAAAACCGTGCGTGTTCCAATTGAAAACACAAATTTCTGATAGAAACAGCAACATTGCAATAATGTGCCATAGACTTGAATCACCCAGTATTATAATGGATCAACATCGAAACTGTATACATGTAAATCACTTTTTTTGCTCGCTCATCACAAATTCTATATGTGGATGCGTGTCTATCGTTAACAGGGTATCTCTAATATGAATTTAAGATTTGATATAAATAATTATTACCAAGAAGAAGGAATATAATATTTTGAAATTGTTTGTACAATAAGTAATTGTAAATTATAGTTTTTATTTGAAAATTTTGAAATATATATTATATATTTTGTATATTAGTTAGTGTACCAAAGACTTTTTAAAGCCATACAATAAATATTATAAGGATATATGTAATTATTATGTCTGTTCCAACCGATCAATTCATTTTTAAATTAGGATAAACGTTCAACTTTTCGAAAAATAGGTGCGGGCAACTGAAAATTACCGTTCTAGAACGGTTCTCATGTCAGGTTGGAACAGACCTATTGTCTTGTTGTTCTAAATGTTTGTACAAATTGAATTATAAAAAAATAAAAAAAAATTGTTTGTAGTTTGAAATTAAAATAACTGACAAGGTATTTCACTAAGTTCCACCTCAAAAATAAAACAAAATTTCCTTATGAAGATACGCAAAATTTTTTGGCTTTTTATTCTCTACAAATATCAAGAAATGTCAATGTCAAAAATGTCGCTAGATTTCCTATTTTCGTCTCGGAGCTTTCTGAGATCCATCATACCGCATTCTAGAAGATATTTTGGAGGTTTCACGTCGGGTTGTTCAAGCAGGAACTCGCAGTAGGCACGTGTAGACCTAAATTATGAAAATATTGTTATAAATCTTTAAAGCACAATCTTATAACGTTGCTTGATGACTAGAAAATTTCAAATATAAAATCATTTATGATTACGTATGAGAAATTTGAGCATCTTCCACCAATCAAATTTAAGAAGACTCTATCGACAAAGCAGGAACATTTGTTCCGGTGGCTTAAACTTTTGATTGCGCTGTTGAAAGTTGTGACTAAATATAGTGCGCCGTGAGAAAAAAATTGAAACTGACAAAAAATAAATTTAAATTGTGTATTGAAAAAAAAAAAAATCTAATCAACTATTGAATTTCTCTAAATAATTAATTATTTTGCCAACATTTTTGAATTAAATATATTATAAAATTTCAGTGTTGACAATGAGTGGCAACACTGTCAAAATTCAAATAATTTTTGTTCAATGTACTATAAATAATTAAAACTTTGGAATCTATTTTATATTGCGTATGCACCTCAGGTATGTATCTATATAAATAATTATTTCCCAAAATTAATTTCCATAATGAATGTTTGCCAGAAATATTTCATTATTAATCAAGAGTTGGAATAGGGACAGTGGGCATTGTTATATCTAATAAATATTATATCATGGCGGCATTAAACACCGTTATAGATCAGATGGGAAAAGATCGCTTCCCTCGATTCGAAAAGTTTCGCTGGGATACGCAGGGAACCATTATGATTGGTTACGGGGACCAATGGACTTTAGAGTGGTGAGGGGGTCATCTCCTTGATAAGGCCCTGAGAAAGGGCATCGCTGCGTGTGATGCGATACATTCCTAGGGTTGTCAAGATGGCTGCGGTAGTCCACGGATTTCCAGACGACACCAACGCCATCCTCAAACGTCTCAGTTGACAGAATCCTGGACTTAGGACGAATCTTTGGAGGACGTACCACCGAAAGGAAGAGCCAAACAGGGCTCTCATGGTTTTTGGAGTTGACGAGGCTTCGTCTGAGGTCTTTCGACCACGAAACTACAAGGCGTATGCAGAGGTCTCCCTTGTCACTGTCGTAACGAGGTCAAAGGGTCCAGCTGCACCCGTAAAAGTGACGGCTTTAGCCGAGGAAGGAAGCAATACCCCATCCTCGGAAGGAACATCACCGCCCAATCCAGCCCTGGAAGCGACAGTCGATGGCTCTAACTGAAAAAAGAGGTGACCGAGCGCATGGGCTGGACCATCCACAACCTAGAAATAGGTCCAATCATTATCCCATACCATGGATAAAGAGACCTTATTTCTTCAAAGCAAGTTGCATCATAGCAAAGGGACGACCTCCTTAATAGATCGTCACATTGCTATGGGGCACATATATACCTTCTACAAGAACCTTGGGCATACAAGGGTCGCGTAAGAAGATTAGGTAGGATGGAAAGATCTCTTTTCTATAAAAGGGACTTTCAACTGAACCCAAGGACTTGCATCTATGTCGACAGACGGCTCGAGTCGACTCCAATAGTTAACTTCTGCTCTAGAGACCTTATACCGGTAAAGTTATGCCTCAAGGGCAGACTGGGAGAGAGCAGATCGATAGTAGTTTGCTCGGCCTATCTGCCCCATGATTCAACAGATGATCTCCCAACACGGAAGTTCATCGATTTGTTGGAATACTGTAACTCACTGGGCCTTCCGTTGATTATCGGATGCAATGCTAACGCACACCACATGGTGCGGGGCAACACCGACACGAACCGAAGAGGGCTCGGTCTTCTGGAGTACCTTCACACCACGGATTTAGAAATCCTGAACCGTGGCAGCGCACCGACCTTTGTTAGGAACTTCGCGTAAACAAGAATCCTACTACTCCACTATCCATGGCCCCGATGATAAGCAAGTGGATAGTGTCTGACGAACCGTCCCTATCAGATCACAGACACCCTTGATCACAGAGCTGGGTCTAGTTAGTTCAGGAACTCCCGGGACACGAACTGGAACCAATACGTTGAGATCCTAAGGGCTAAGCTAGAAAAGTTTTCCACGCAATGCCGCAGCGTAAGGCAAGTGGAGGAAACAGCCGAATTCATATGCAACGCAATCACCAATGCATATGAACGAAGCCGTCAGCTTCGGACCTATCAAGAAAAGAAGAAAACCTCTTGCTGGAACTCCGACCTCGACAAGGCTAGGGAAGAAACCCGCAGGCTCTAGGACCATATGGTCTAAATCACTATGAGTCACAAGCAGTGTCAGCGCAGATACAAAGATCTCATGTGCAATGCACCTACTAGTTGCGGGCTCCTAAGGTAAGACAGGGCTGCACCAAGAGAAGGATAGCACAATGGACCAAATGCGCATCTAAGTGCTGCCTGTAATGGTTGAAAAGGCTCTCCTTTCAAATCAATCAATCAATCATAGTTGGTAACTTTTGGTACTGAGGAAACAATTTTCAATATATGTATTATGAACATACCAAAATCATTATTGACTAAATATAGCATAACATTTCATTTTCTAGGAGCCTAGAAATGAGGATTTTTTTAGGCGAGTGAGCCTAAACCTAGGTTTGAAGATTCCTACACGATTGAACTAACTAATTTGAATAAGTCAGTATTGGTTTGCTTACTTTAAATGTGTAATTCCTTGCCAAACGGTTGCCATGCTGGTTAAACGTTCTGGCACCCTATCGCAAGTCATCCATTTTTTAAAATAATTTTCCGCCGGAGGCCTCCCTTGCATTTCCGCTGGTAGTCGCCCACCGAAAGCCGAATAAATAGTCTTCTTTTTACTCGCCCGTAAATCTTTCATGATTTCTTGCCGAAGAACCGACCTTCTGGCTTTCTAAAAAACCAAGCACAATAGTTTTGCAAATTATTTATTTCGAGTTGACTCACTTCAGGGCATTTCTTAGTTATAGCGACCCTCTTGGATACCGAAGGAATCTCTTGAATGCCAACTCTGAGCGATCTTGTAGAATTTGCCTGAAATCCGATTTCGAACATTTCAATGATGGCTCCCACGCTCAGCGACACCTCTTCGTCGCCGCCCAAATCTCTTAGCCAATTAACAAAATCTGTAGCTATCTAAAATAAATTATTAAAGCTATTTTATAGGGCAAACAAATTTTTTACTTGTTCTGTAACGGTTTTAGCTCTTTGAGTCAAAGTCATCTCGCTCAACGACAAAGGCGGCAGATTTCTCCAAACTGCAGCCCTGTCAGGTTTGCGTTTGAAGAAGTCCATGTACATTTTGCATTTTGAGACTTCCACAGGAGCTCTAGAACTTCCAAATAATTCATAATTTTGGAAAAAAAAATTAATAGGCAATACTTGCTTTGTAGCAGACGTACGAATATTTTTCGCAGAACGTTCTCCTGAACTTTGTCTAGTTCTGAAAATATAATAAGAATTTAATATATTAGTATTAGTATGCTGCAAGACTAATCTGTCTTGGAATAACAGGGACACAACGCATAACATCTCTAACCTACATATTATGTTTCATAAAACCTGCCAATGTTTGTACATAATTTTAGTGGTTACGATTATCATTTTACCGTTGAAAGGAGGTACAAGTATTTTTGGCATTTTAAAAACTAAGTTGTATTGATAAAATAACACGTAAACAATTAACAACATAATTCTCACTCATTGGTCAACACGATTTGTTTATTCGTAAAAAATGAATCAGTTTTTAGACGTTCTCGCACTTTCATCCTCATCTGCGAAATATCTTTATCCGACAGCGTATCTAATTCCTCTTTAAATTTAGGATTACGTGTGTTGCACGAGTACAATATTTTCCGCAAAGCTGATAAGCCGAAAACGTTTGATAGCACGTCTCTCTGTTCCTCTGGAGGCTGAAAAATTTGAGCCGAATAAAATTTATGTGGAGAAATGTATTGTTTGCGTACAATATTGGCATCGTGCTCTAATTTATCGAACAAATTTTGCCACCAGTCGAAAATTGCTGCATCGTCTCTTTCGTATTTGCTTCGCTTGATTTCCCTTTTGGGGTTGCACTGACTGGACAAGCTGGAATAAATAAGGAAATTATTTGTTAAAGAAAATATGATATTGCAACTCACATTTCTGTACGAGGTGAGGCAATTTTAGAAACTTTATCGACCTCATTAGGTTTTTGCATAGGTTTCACATTACTTGGAGAACGCTGGTCAATTTTTCCCGGCGTATCTGAAGTTCTGTACAGTCTTGTATTGGTGGTAATACGCTTGGTTGTTTTAGATGGCATAATCAATATTTGATCGAGAATAATTTAAAAAAAAAAGGGAAAGGTTAAAAAATAATGCATCACATACATGACAGCATCACAGATTAAAAGTTTTTTCGATATCCATGGGAACTTGGATGAAATAAAACTTGTGTCACACTGAATCTTCTATATACTTACACCGACTCACTATCCAAAACGGATTCTTTACACAAAAAATTTCCAGCGATAAAACAGAACTTAACATTTAAAAGCGTATTCGTTAAATTGTCTTATCGAATTACACTTAAGTGCTCTTTTTTTGTAGAAATAAACTTGACATACATTTATAATTTGAGTTTTGTTGCTTTTAGGCAATTTAACTCAAAAAACTCTCGTCTTACGGACTTTGCCAGGCAAAAAAAATTTCATTGAAATACAAAGTTTACTTCGAGTGTTAAATTGTTTGTGTACTATATTTGTGATGAAAATTGTGAGAACTGGCAAAAGTAATGTAGAATCCATATCAGATATTGAAGAGTTTTCATTAGAGTTTTACACATGAGGTTAATGAAGGGGAGGATTACACCGTCTGTGTTTTCTTGAACAAAGCGAATATACTTTTTAATAGTAAAAAAATATGTGAACTGATTTTATAGGTACCTACACCAAGAGTACATTTTTAACAGTTTTCAATTTCAATTTGATCATTGTATTGATTATACAACTCACTGTACATTATTCCCATATGACACGAGAGGCTTAATAAGTGATGAGCCTTTTGGAATTATTGCGCTTGGTGGCATTTATAGCAAATTCTATTATAGAAAATTACCCAATACTTTTACCTGACACTCAACGCGTTACCAGCAACACCTGCGTAACGCGTTTCGTGACAGGTAAAAGTATTATCCGGTAATCCTAAAACCTCTTGTGGTATTACATTCGATAATTCCGCCCCCGCCATATGTTTTTTGTTTATTGTGTGCCATTTTTGACAGGTCTTTGGATTGCCTGATAGGTATCTATAACCTCACTTTTGTATAATCGCTTTCTATAAGCGGTTCGTTTTCGCGAAAAAGAGGATAACAAACTTTATATTAGGTGGGGGTAATTTTGACAGAACACCAGTGGTAGGGGTAATACTCGTATGGTTATAGCTCGTGATAACACGGTTACAAACGGTTACTTGCTAAAAAATCCTTATTGTCAAGCGCCGATACTTTTGTCACGTCACTACAAATGCGCGCTTCAATTCGTCTCCACCCTGACTCATAATATGCTATTCATTTGTATTTAGTTACTCTACCTACTCGAAAAATCAGGAAGATCTGCTAGGAGCTGCTATTTATGAGCTTATAAGTGTGGGACAAATGAACGTTGATCTGTTGTTAAGATCTACTTGAAGTAAGAAACGCTAAGTCTAGAAGTTGTTGAGATTTTGTGTCCTTTTGGTCTTTTGGGATCTTTCAAACTCCAAACACTAAATTATTCTGAGATTTGGAGCCGGATTCTATAAAGAAAGGCACTCAGAAAATTTTGTTCCCGCTTATTATCCGCGGGTTTCCTTCATGCGATTTTTTCTCGGAACCTATAGGTCCAAATGAGCTAAAATTTATGTAGAAAAGGCTTGTGTTGCCAACCTAGTTACTAAATTTTTGACTTGGGGAATTATCTTAAAAAAAAAAAACACACTTTAGATTATTTTCTTTTCAAAAACGCATAAGTGAATCTGGAAGGTAGATATTTTTGTTTTTTGCATTGTGACTTTTAGGACCGGTTTATCAGTGGACGGCTATCTAGTTTAGCTGTCGGTTAACCAATGATAAATAATTATAAGTTAATCAACAGCTAAACTACATAACCGTCCACGAATAAACCGGTCCTTAATAACGCCACAGGCATTTCACAGTAAAAAATTACCTGAAAATCCTTTAGTCCTCCTTTAACTTTGCTGAGTTTTAGAGCTATATCGCAGTCTCCGGCATACCTGAATTAAAACATCGTGCAGTTTGTATGAACCATACAAATAGATTAGGCAACCAACGATGCACTTACGTACAAAGAAAAAAAGTATAATACAAATTGCACGAAATAGAAATTCACGTAATATCCATAACAAATACGATTTTGTTGGAACATTCTCGAAAACTACAAGGCCGCCTTTACGAAATGGTACCTGTTCAACTATACCTTTACAATTTCAAATTGAGACTTATCACAATAAAATTAAGAACCAACATTCTCAAATTGAGAATAGATAAAATCAAATTGAGAACAATCAATTTCAAATAATTCAAATTGGTACAACGTCCGTTTCCATCTAATGTACCAATTGGAAAATATAATTTAACATAATTTACCAACAGTTAACATCAACAATTACACAAGATAATAATATGTTGTTCACTTTCAAAGTATTGTTCCAGGGTGTTTATTCTCGAAACCGGGGAACAGCGTTCTCACGAGAATGATTGCTCTGTCTTTGTCAGTGTTAGAGAAATATAAATATGGGCAACTAAGTCAGAAGCTTTGTTCTTATATAGGATCGCTGCCTGCTCCCCTGTTTCGAGAATGAGAGCTTTGGATGCTTTGAACTTAGTGATATGCATTATGTAAAATTTCACGTTTATCTTACCCATATAGTGTTGGGTTTTCAAAAACTTCTTTTGTATAATTTGATTACTAAAATTTGAATTTTGTTTATATAATTGAATAAGATATGATAACTTTATATTTGTTTGTTTTTTTTTTTTTTCAAATGAGCGTAACATATCAATTTGATTTTGTTTATTCTTATTTTGAAAATGTTTATTCTCAATTTGATTGTGTTAAGTATCAATTTGAAGTTGAAAAGGTATAGTTTCTCAAATTCCAACCCAGGCAATCGATATTTACCCATGATAGTAAGTTTGCCATGGAACTTTACAGCTTTTTCGTCTTGCAACGATAAGTTTTCAAAGAAATCTTGTTTTATAAGACTTTGTTTCAGTTGTAGATGTTTAATTATGTTTAATATCACAGGAAAAATTATCCATATTATGGAACAGTGATGGTAGCCCAGAGCGTATGATATCAGGCAAACTTTGTCAGACTATGATTGCCTTTTGTGAGGACCACTTTACGAATTTTAGGAATAGGTAGTTTTATTTGAATATAGTAGTTGAACTAAATTGAATTGTACTTTTGGAGCTACATTTGATTTAAAGTTAAACAACTAAATTTCAAAGTTAAATAATTAAATTAGTTTGATGCAAATATATTAAACCATGCAAAATACGCGTTCATCACGTTTTTGACTGACTCATCATCATTAAAATTTGAAAATCGATTTCAATTTTGATTGTACTATTGTCAATTACTTAAGTAAATACCACTTTGTACATCAATTTTACTAAAGTGTGTCGACGAGTCAACATTTATTTGGTATAAATACCGCGCCGAAATCCATTACCGGCAGACTAAGGCTAGTGCAAAGTACCTCAAATGGGAAACGCCCTTCTGGACCTGTCTCAAACCTAGCACCTTCTGGAAGTATTGAACGCAGCAGACTAGGTCCAGTGCAAACTATCTTTATTGGGAAACGCCCTTTTGGACCTGTTTCAAACCCAGCTTCAGTCTTCAGTCACGTCAAGTGTATACAGAGTGGCTTATAAGTAATACGTCCCTCTGTAGAAGAGACGTGTCATGATACTATTTCTAGGGTAATATTATTATTATTCAATACATAATATCTTATTATACCTATATCAAGCGAGTTTTTTTCTACCTGAACCCCACCTACGTCCCCAGGTCATGCTCCTGTTGTGACGTCCCCACTATAACGAAATAAATTTCTGATTTTACTATGAAAAGTTAAAAGGTGCAAATTACCTTCTATAATAACATAAGCCAGTACCACAAGCAACAAGGTGCCACAAATGGTACTGATACACAAAATTTCATACAAAGTCAGGATTATTATCAATCAATACACTTTATCGGTCTAAGGCACTACCCGAAATAGGCAAATTCACATTTTTTGATAAAGTAAAGATAACATATTAAACTGTACATTACTCATCGTGGTATATGAAAATACGTCTTATACGGTTGGTGCAAATGCAATTCGTACCAATAATAGTTTTAAGTTTTAATAGCACAATGTCACAAACAAATACTCGTACAAAGTGCGAGCATTTTGATACTGAAAATCAAGATTGTTGGTTATTTCATACAGGAATCGTACTTTTCTGGATTTACGTACGCAAACTTAAACTTCACCTTGCGGAAAATATTAAATATTGATTGTACTTGTTCTAAAAATAAAACCGCTGCTGGTATTGTTTAATGTCCTCCAATGTCTTTTTACCTTTTTAGGTACCTACCTAATAACTATTGCTGTTTTAGGAGTGGTTATCATTTTAGAAAAGGATTATGATGATTTGAACTATCTGGCTAATTGAAAACCGGCAATAATTCAAGTTTGAACTAGGTTTTATCAACAGCGGATAAGAATTAAACAGTGGACTATTACCAGCTCTTGATTGCCATAGTTCAAAATGAGTTTTAGTTCTTGAATCCAAAATGAGATTCTCATTAGCCTTGTGCAATTAGTCTTAGTGGATTTTACATTATTTTTGCAATTTTCTCATCACCTCACAAGGTTTACTTTATCCAAGTTTCCATGGATATCGATAAAACTTTCACCTATGACTTTTGTCTGTCGCTCAAGTCAATATATCATTCTGTATTTTTTTTTTTTTTTTTTTTTTTCGATCAGTTTATTGATAATGTTACCTAAAACAGAGCACATTGCTAATAGGCTACAGAACGAAACTCCAGATTTGTCGCTATGCAGTTGGTCCTCCGACGAAGATACAATTCCTAGAGTTGCGGTCGGTAAACCAATCGGGCCACCTCGTCGGTATTCAGAACTGTAAGTTGAATATATGTTTATCGATGGAATACGTCCATGGCCACCTGAAATGGCTAATTACAACATTTTTTCGTAGGTCTAATAATTTTTATATCAAAAAGGTCATAAAGTCAAAATTCAGTTTTTATACTTTTTCACACATACCTCGTGATATCTTCGGAACTAATTGAGATAATAATTATTTATTTTTTTTATTCTGAAGAGAATATGTTAGCGAAAATCACTAAGATAATTTTGTTTTTCTGAAAAACTCACTTTTCTCGGAAAACTAGGTGAAACTTCAACTTATACTTTTTTTGCAGTATATTTTTCAGTAAGCGAGCCATTCTGAAAATTCTGAAAAAAAAATTGTAATTAGCCATTTCAGGTAGCCAGACCTATTCCGTTGCAAGTTTCTCATCACCTCACAGGATTTACTCTATTCAAGTTTCCATAGATATCGATAAAACTTTCACCTATGACTTTTGTCTGTCGCTCAAATCAATATATCATTTTATATTTTTCTTGATCAATTTATTGATTATGCTATCTGAAACAGAGCATATTGCTAGTAGGCAACAGTTTTTAACTCCAGATTTGTCGCAATGCAGTTTGTCGGACGTATTTGACGAGCTTTCTGTAGGCGATAGAACACTTGCGGAACAAATGAAGGAAGATAAAATTCCTAAAGTTCCGGTCGGTAAACCAATCGTGCCACCTCGTCAGTATCCAGAACTGTAAGTTGAATATAAGTTTTTATCTATTTCCTTATCTGTGTTTTTTTTAGTATAACTAGTTCCAATCCGAACCTGTCTACTCGGTGCAACAGGATAATCAAAAGCAGCAAATATGAAAAAAACGATCAAGCAGTTTACGGCTGGTGGCAGAATTTGTTTCAAACATTAGAACACGATGCAGATATTGTACGTAAATGATACATTTTCCTATAAATTTTATTGTGATTTCATTTTTCAGCCTCCTGAAGAACAGTACGATGTACTAGAAAGCCTTTTCAATTCAATATTGTTGCCGAAAATATTGGAATCTTGTGCTACGCGCAATCGGCTATTGAAAGAGGAATTAGAATCCCTGTCGGACGATGATATTTTACAAATAAGGACGGAAGTGCGGGAGCGCGTGGACGATGCTTCATTTCCTACGAATAAAAGGGATGCGTTGACCAAGGAGTAAGAATTTTCATAACATGCTAATTTGATAAATTCCAATTTTTTTTAGAACTGTACAAAGCTCAAAAGAACGTTCTGCGAAAGATGTTCTCACGTCTGCTACAGAGTAAGTAACAAGTTAAGTAAGAATTTGAACTACTTGAAAATTGTAGGGCCCCTGTAGAAGTCTCAAAATGCAAAATGTACATGAATTTTTTCAAACGCAAACCCAACAGGGCTGCCGTTTGGAGAACTTTGCCGCCCTTATCGATGAACGAAATGAATTTGAACCAAAAAGCTGAAGCAATTACAGAACAAGTAAAAAATTTCATTGCCCAATAAAATAGCTTCAATAAATTTATTTCAGATAGCTACAGATTTTATTAATTGGCTAAGAGATTTGGGTGGCGACGAAGAGCTGTCGCTGAGTGTGCAATCAATCATTGAAATGTTCGAAATCGGATTTCACGCAAACTCCGCAAGATCGCTCAAAGTTGGTCTCAAAGAGTTGCCTGCGGTGTCCAAACGGATCGCCATAGCTAAGAAATGTCCTCAGGTGAGTCAATCGCAAGATTCATAATTGCAAAAATATTGTGGTTGTTGTTTTTTTTAGAAAGCCAAAAGGGCAGTCCTCCGGCAAGAAATCGTGAAAGATATGAGGGCGAGCAAAAAGAAAACTACTTGTACGGCTTTCGGTAGGCAACTGCCGCCGGAAATGCAAGTGAGACCTCCGGCGGAAAATTATTTTAAAAAATGGAGGAGCTGCGATCGGGTGCCGGAACGTTTGGCAAGCATGGCGGCCGTTTGGCAAGGAATCACGCATTTGAAGTAAGCAAACCAATACTGATCTCTCTAGTCAAGGAAATTGTGCAGAATCTTGCAACACTGCATTATGAATTTTCTGGTCATCAGGCAGGGTTGCAACATTATGCACAATATCCCCATCATTTTGAAACATTTATACCAATATCCTCATTGCTTCTTTTTGGTTTTAGGTCTACACGTGCCTACTGCGAGTTCCTGCTCCAAAGACCCGAAATAAAACCGCCAAAATATCTTCTAGATGCAGGAATGATGGATCTCAGAAAGCTCCGAGAGGAAGATACGAAATCCGATGACTTTTTTGTTGAAATCTCTTGATTTCCGCAAATTGTTTGGGACTAATGATTTGATTGATTTACGTAGCCCGTACATATACTAACCAACCTGCAAACTGGAAAATTTCTAATTAATTCATGGGCTACGTAAAACACGGTGTATATTAGGAAATTTGTTTTATGTTTGAGGTGAAACTTGACAAACCAAATTGTTGCAAATTCAATTAGCTAATAATTTTAATCTCAAACTGTAATTTCTATAATATACAATACAAAATATTTAAAAAAATGTTTTATTTAAAATAAATACTTGCTTAATTGCTTCCTCCTGTAGTTTATATTAAAATTCCTTTAGAATGAATAACTTTTCGATTCAAATCACTCATTAATCCTATGACCTGAAGGATTATTCGGTAATGGCTCTAATGCAAGTGAGGAGGTTTATAGGGGATGTTCGAGAATGCCGTGAGGCACGCGTCAGCCCTAAAACAAATTTTAGCCACAGATTAACCCCTCCTAAAGATAGGAAACTTCCATGTAAAATGTTCGTTCGGAGCTGTCTAAAAAATAACACGTATGAGAGTTTCATGACTGCCAAAGCTATACGGCGCTAGTATAGCAAAGCCACAAGCAAATGTCATCTGTGAATGAATGTAATTTGTCATTATATTATTATATTTGCCAAGTCAGCCGATTGATGTGTGTAAAGTGTGTTTTTTTTTTAAAGATAATTCCCCAAGTCAAAAATTTAGTAACTATGTTGGCAACACAAGCCTTTTCTACATAACAAATTTGAGAGCATTGACAATTTTACATTGTATTGCCAACATAATGTCATTTTGACTTTTATCTTTAAAAAAAAAACACATTTTAGTGTTCTTTATTTAATTTTCTATCAATTTTTGGTAAAACTTTGACTTCTTAATATGTTTTTAATAAAAGAGACCTTATGCTACATGTAAAAATTGTGAAAAAGGTTTTAGTGATGGTATTTATTTGCAATTTTTGACATTCACTAAAGGAGTCATTTGTGCACAAGACCTATCAACTTTTTTTTTTTTTTTTTTTTTCAATACGGTTTTCTGTTGTTATGTAAAAGGCTGTTCTGTTAAAGAAGAAGATAGTACTGAAATGTTGTTGTTTTATTTTCAAAAAATAGGGTCTAATAATAAAATGAAATTATTGATTAGACAAATTATTTGAAAAAAGGCGGGAACCACGTGACCAGAGATAAATACCACAGCATATACAAAAACAATCAGCAGGCTAACTTGAGTGACAGTCCGTGTAATAAAGGAATTCATCGTCAAAATGTCACTAGCGGCCATTTTGGGATACGAAACAGGGCCTGATTAACGATAATTTAGGTTTTTTCTTTCCTGTGACAGAGTCGTATTGGCTTTAAATAAACTAATTTATTATTACTTACATATAAAAATGTTTATAATTACTAATTTATTATTATTATTGAATATACAAGAATGATAACAGATAACACCATAAATGACAACACGAATATATCAAAATCGTTTTGAAAATCATAGCTAGAATTCCGCTCTACACCGCACGCCTATGACCTCCGTCAGAAATGAACAAATAAAATAAAATTTCGGCGCTCCTGCCGTTTAATGACAGCGTTTTGACAAAATGGAATCCCCTAATGGCGGCGTGCGCAGAAAAGATGCGCGTGAGAGTTAGCCTGCTGATTGTTTTTGTGTATGCTGTGTAAATACTATATAAACTGTCGAGAATGGAATCTCAGTGTAAATTTTGTTGTCAACAAAATTGAGCCAAGGCAGCGCCATCTACCATATCGGAAAATCACTATTTACTGGTTTTGCATCGATGCTACAGACACCTACTTTACAAAGGACTTTTTATGATAGATGGCGCCCTGTTCGCATTACTGTCGGTCTGTTCAAATTCGTTTATTCTGGACTTTGGGGCATTAATGTTTGCTCAAATTAATTGATAATTTGTTAATTAGATCAAAAGACAGTTTCTTTATCGATGGTTAAGGGTATCCTTAACATATTTATTCAAAGTTCTGATTAATGTTTAATTGAACCTGTCATTTATCTAATCAACAAAGATAAAAATAGATCTTCCAATCAATAAAGTTTGAAGTTCTTCTTGAAACACACAAAACAACTTTGAAATCACTTAAGAACACTTGATAACACAAAGAAAGATGAAATACAAGACCGGCGAACAAAAAACATTATGAATTATTAGTTATGACACAGTTTATACCGTACCGATACAGTTGTACAACTCTCCATATTTTTTCGCATGCGCACAATGAGTGAACAAATCTCTCAAATTGAAAAAGCAGTTCGGCATATACATGTCTCTTTCCAATCCTGCACGCAAAAAAGAGATAGAGATAGCTTGGGTGAGAACCCGCGAGAAATAACTGTCAAACGAGACACGCAACAGGGATTGTAATACAAAAAAAGAAGAGAAGTTTTTTGACTGAAATGATCCAGGAAATTGAAAAGTAACTGGAAAATTCATCAATTTGAAATTTGGCTTTGTTAAGAATGTTTTGCTTTCCGTGTTATTCGCGATTTTTGTGTACTTGACTGTTTTATCGTTTATGTATTGTGTATTATCATGGTTGCTTCCTGTTTTGTCTATAAAAACAACACTAGAACTAGCCTAGGCTTAGGATATTTTGGTTTCCTGAACGATGAACGACTGTAAGTATTTATATTTACATATTTCATATTAGGTTTACTCTATACATTCACATAATCTTTGTTTATTATTATATGATCCGGTGGTTATGATCAAATGAATATTTTGGCATATTGTCATATGTTGACATGTCAGTTATCGACATCGGACGTGTTTTTGATGTGCCTCAGGTAGTCGATTCTCGAATTTGGTAGAAGTGAACGTTCCCCTAAGAGAAGTGAGATATCACATCGCACACTCGTTTTCTTGGTGCCAAAGTTGGTATTCTCGAAAGTATGGGATTATGATAGAATGAGAGAAAACTTGTCAAATCATAATGCGTTGCTGCCAACAGTAATATGTAGAATTAGCACAATTTTAGTGCGTTAAAAGGATGAATGTCATGAAAAAGAAGAAAATCAGTTTGTTTTATTTGTGTTTTGGGACGGAACCTCATTCTTTGCTTATTGATTTACCTACTGAAAATCAAATCATTAATCAGGTCTGTTCCAACACAGCAACAAACCGTACAATGCACCGTCACGATTCTGCGCAAAGCGTAAAATTTGTGCGTAGAAACAATTCGTTCACTGAATGGTTTATTGTTATCTGTCAACTGGTCCCATTCAAGCCTATGTATGTAGTAGTCTAGTCCTGTATAATTAATTCTACTTCTGGTAATTTTTGGAGCCCGAGCCCCCATAGTAATTTTGAAATTCCGGTGCCTATGCCAGCAGTTTTATGTCAAGCTTATGTAAATACTTACTACTAAAGGTTTGTCACTGTTTAAATCTTTCAACACGTTAGATCATTTTAGTACTAAGCACTTAAGTACCTTTTGACAAAAAATTTTCTACCTTGACTTTATGTAGCTGTGTTTACTGAAAGGGTACTCAAACAAAATGTATCAAGGGAACCTAAAATTATTGATGAGCGTTTGTTTCAACTCCAATTCATCAAAATAGCTATATATTTTTTTTCTTAGAACCAACCTTAAAGCTTTAATCATTTTCGAAATCTAATCTAATTAAACAATTCGCGCGTCAATCAAAAACATCATTGCAAAATTGTTCAGTAGAATTATTCTCTAATCAAACAATTAATTTCACAACACAACAATATAATCTCTTATCAACATTTTGATAAATAATAAGTACCTAGATGTTGTTTGGCTTTTATTAGTATCGAAGATTTAATTTTAAAGTGGCTGAAAAAAAAAGTATGGAGATCATATCTGGGTACCTATTATTAGTTTTAAATTTAATTTGTATGATTTTTTAAAATATATTTTCTAGTTCGGACATCGTTTCCAAATCCAAAATCAAATTAACGCTAAGATATAGCGTACAACGTCAAAGATTGATTGTTGTAGTTCACCACATTGAGTAAGAGAAGTTTATTTTTAAAAATTTTGATCTCTTATATTTCCATTGTAGAGAATTAAATTTCGATGAAATCAAAGGACTGTACGTTAAATTATATTTGTTGCCAGAAAGGCACAAGGATACAAAACGAAAAACACAAGTAGGAATTATCTATGTAGAGTGAATTTGAAATTATTTTTAATTGAATTTTAGGTTATTACTACAAGCAAAAATCCAGTATTCGACGAAACATTCGAGTTTATTTTATCGCAAGAAGAGCTCGGCCATAAACAGCTTGAAGTGTCTGTTTGTGAAGAAAACTTCATTAAAAATGAACCGATACAAAAGGTGGGTACACAATTGAGATATACAAACAGCAAACAGTTGTAGATAGAATAGTTTTTTTTTTTCAAATTGCAGAGTAACAACTTTTTTATAATTTGAGCCACCCTGTATTTTATATACCGATCCAAAAATTCACATACAAGTCTCATCATTTTTTCTATGTCTACAATAAATGTTTTATGTTAACAAATTACTATAAAATTCTTTTTTTTTTCAGGTTAAAATTGACTTAGATAAACTAAGCCTAGTTTTGCCGCACACCAGATTATTTAATTTAGTAAAGTCCTATCACAGCTAATCAATCTGCCTTTGTTTGTTTCCTATGTTCTGTGAACAATTAATTGTCTAAATTGAGTACCTAACAATCAAATGTATAAGAAACTATATTTTATACTTATAAGCTTCATCAAAATATTTATTTTGACTGAATAAACTTATGAAACCCTTTAAAAGGATGTAAATTTGTCAGTTTATATGAGATGAAGGCTTGAATTCAACAAGAAAGAGACTGCAATTTGATTAAAAGTTTTGCAAATGGCGTGAACTTGGCAGCCAAAAGTTAGCAGCCTAACTCCCGAGTCTACCCGAACAGTCAGTGGCGTCGTTTATGTCTTATTTTTGGATATTATACCTATATTCCTTTTTTTATAAATAGGTACGATAAAATTAATCCAGTTATTAAAGGTAAACAAGAAAATATTGCAAATGGATCCAATACATGTTTTTGAAGGTAAACAAAGAATTAATAGTTATTTATACACCAAGTGTTCTCTCCCTAGGTGAATAATGAAAATAATGAAAAAATACCTAGGTCAATAATGAAAATGATGTCATGACGCAAGGATATTGTCATGTTTCTATTGGTTCAATTTCATACGTCAATTAAAAAAAAATACAGGTACATAGGAAGTTATCATGAGCTGTTGATAGAGGGCAGCACTTTCAAGAGTGCGTTCAAAAAAAATAATTAGAGCACAGATTTTCAACAAATTTTTCATTTTCTACTAGCAGTAGTAAAAAAAATTCTATATATTCCTCGGTAGAGAAAGTCATTATATACCTCACGCGTTATAAACCTCGGCGCTTTGCGCTTCGGTTTATAAAAGCGCTCGGTATATAATGACCTACTTCTCTACCTAGGTATATAATATACTATTATTTCATTTTGATGGACATTTAAAAAATTGAGTACTTAATAGGAATCAAATTATAAAAAGAATTCATTCAGCGAGCGCTAATGTCTAATACCTACTGAAACTGGTAGTTGCTAGGGTATAGCTAGTTGTTTGTTTGTATTTGTAGCAGATTTTTGTACCGGCAGAGTGACTTAAAAGGCTAAGAGTGAGTTAAATAGTTATTTATGATATAAGTGCTAAAAGTGACAGTTTATTTTGTGAAAAGGGAAGTTTGGGACACGACGCCGAAGGCGGAGTGTTCCATCCCTTTGAACAAAATAAAATCACTTTTAGCACGAATATCATACACTATTTTTCCTACAAACGCACTAAAAGTGATTACTTTTAGCACTAGTGCTAAAAGGAATCACTTTTAACACCAGTGTCATAAAATGGCATTTTAGACACTGACAGCATCCGTTAAAAATGACACTTTTAGTGACGTTTGTAGAAAAAATATTTTAAGTCACTCAAGTGATAAACGTCTACTTACCTTTGTTATTATGCGTTCAATAATGTCATTTTTAAACGTCAAAATGGGATAAAATATTTGAAATATTAATTTTTCACCAACTTACGGACGGGACTTTCCACATATTTTTCTCAACCAGGTGAAATCAAAAATGCTTTTACACACGATGAACTCATTATGGGGCATCTTACTCGACTTGCAAATGGGTCCAAGGGTGGTTTTAGGGAGTGAAACAAGAAAATTGAAAAACTAGAAATATCAATTTTTCCCAGAATTACTTATCTTGCGACATTTTCTTCACAACCAAATGTATTAGAAACTGTGCCTAGGCACCATGGGTACCTTTCAAGGCACCTAACTTGACTTGCAAATGGGTGCAAGGGTGGTTTTTGGGGATAAAACATAAAATTGAAAACTAGAAATATCAATTTTTCCCAGAATTACTTATCTTGCGACATTTTCTTCACAACCAAATGTATTAGAAACTGTCCCTAGGCACCGTAGGCACCTTTCAAGGCACCTAACTCGACTTGCAAATGGGTCCAAGGCTGGTTTTTGGGGGTAAAACAAGAAAAATGAAAAACTGACAATATCTATTTTTCTCAGAATTACTTGTCCTGCGACATTTTCTTCACAACTAAATGTATTAGAAACTTTGCCTAGGCACCATAGGCACATTTCGATGCATCTTACTCGACTTGCAAATGGGTCCAAGGGTGGTTTTGGGGGTAAAACAAGAAAATTGAAAAACTAGAAATGTCAATTTTTTTCCGGAATTACTTGCCTGCGACATTTTCTTCATAATCAAATGTATTAGAAACTGTGCCTAGGCACCATAGGCATGAAACCACCCTTAGACCCATTTGCAAGTCGAGTCAGATGCACTGAAATGTGCCTATGGTGCCTAAGCACAGTTTCAAATACATTTGGTTGTGAAAAAAAGGGCGCAAGACACGTAATTCTGGAAAAAAATTGATAATTCTGGTTTTTAAATGTTTCGTATCTATCCCCAAAAACCACCCTTGGATTTATTTGCAAGTGGAGTAAGATGCATTAAAATGTGCCTATGGTGCCTAGGCACATTTTCTAATACATTTGGTTGTGAAAAAAATGTCGCAAGACGCGTAATTCTGGGAAAAATTGATATTGCCAGTTTTTCATTTTTCTTGTTTTACCCCCAAAAACCACCCTTGCACCCATTTGCAAGTCAAGGTAGGTGCCCTGAAAGGTGTCCATAGTGCCTAGGCACAGTTTCTAATACATTTGGTCAAAGTTTATTAGGTTGTGAAGAAAATATCGCAAGACACGTAATTCTGAGAAAATTTGATATTTCCAGTTTTTCAATTCTCTTGTTTCACTCCCAAAAACCACCCTTGGACCCATTTGCAACTCAAGTGAGGTGCCCCATAATGAGTTAGTTCATCGTGTGTAAAAGCATTTTTTACTTCATTTGGTTGAGAAAAATATGTGGAAAGTCCCGCCAGTAAGTTGATGAAAAATTAATATTTCAAATATTTTAATTCTTTGTTTACCTTCTAAAACATGTATTGGATCCATTTGCAATATTTTCTTGTTTACTGTTTACCTTCAATAATTGGATTAATTTTATCGTATTTATAAAAAAAGGAATGTATAATATCTAAAAATAATACATAAACGACGGACGCCACTGACTGTTCGGGTAGACTCGGAAGTCAGGCTGCTAACTTTTGGCTGCCAAGTTCACGCCAGTAGTTTTGCATCCATCCTTTAATACTTTTAAATTCCGCAAAAGTATATTGTTACGTCATCAAGAATATGGTAATTCTAATACAAATATCGTCTACCTTGGATATTAGCAAAACAGTGCGAATATAATATTGCTGACATTGAATAATTTCAACTTACCCAAAAGTTACCGACCGCAAGTCAAAAATCGCTAAATATTTATGTCATCAATAATTATTGTCGGTATACGCTAATTAGTATATTGTAACATCATGAGGTTTTGTAATAATTGAGTTTTAATAAAAATGAGAAAATATGTTTCAAAAGCTTGCTGTCTAGGAAAAAATAGTTACAATCGAGAAATGCTTTCAATAAGGACCAACCGAAGCTATTTTTCCTTCACTGAGCTTTTTCCATTTTTCTCATCTTTTCTTTCGCCGCGCTTAGGTGGCAACTTTTTTGTCCTAAGTTTAATTCAAGCTTTTCTCTGAACTGTTTTTCCAGTTTTCCTCATCGATTTTTTTTCCACACTTTTTTATACAAAATTTTTTCAGCTTTTTCTTCATTATTTTGCCTCCAGATGTTCACCTTTTCTTTTCCCAATTCTTTTTTCTTTTACTTCCTCTGTATTGGGAAGTGGACTGAGAAATAAAGGAACTTCTTAATTATTTATCGATATTCAATATATTTATTATATCGAACACAGCGTGGAAAGCAGAGCGTGTGAATTCATAGAACTAACTATAGGAACTGACTCAACATCAACACAAAGAATTACAAACCCTTTGTTAAGTAAACAATTCCTCATCTGTTAGTTATATTAACCAATTGCCATGCTGATTTATAATCAATTATCTATTTTTTATATGCTTTAATATGCTTACCCCTTTCCTCTAGGACTTTTTAAAATACATTGTTGTAAAGTAAACATCAAATTGCTATGTCGGCATTAAATTATTATTTAAGCCGATGCAGTCCCATAAGGAACGTTCATTTGTTTTCTGGCTTTAGCCTGTAGCAATTTGATCCGAATATTTTCTTTTGTCACCTCTGTATTTTAATCAATAAAATAAATGTTTTTTAAAATACAAGTTTCTGAATCGAAAATATAATTGGCGCAGTCGTTCGGATGCTCAGAGTGCTTAAGTTTCGGGAGTTGTAACAGTCGTAATCCGTCGCGAAAATTTCAAAAGACTGAAGGAAGTTCGAAAAAGTGAATTCTTCGGAAAAGTGAAATTTGGATTATCATTGCTGCTATTAAACGTTCCAGATACTGTCCACTTCGAATTGGTTAACTGAGTAAAAGGAATAACAAGAAACAACGTGTGAAGAAAGACTACTGTTATTAGCTTTGCCTAGTAAGTACAACCTTTCTCTTTATACATTTTGTAATTGGTGTTCCATAGTTAAGATTTTTGGATTTTTGATCTTTTGTAATTTCTAATTTTTGATTTACTGAGAAGACTTAAATTCAGATTTTTGTTCTTTTGCAATTCCAAAACGGTTTGCTGAAAAGACTGAAATCAAAAAAAAAAAGAGTAACAAAGAATTTACAAACGAACAACAACTTTTAATTTTTAAGAAAAAGCAACGCATAAGACTGAATAATTAATTATAATTTTAATTTTAATTTCAATAAAACTTTAATTTTGAATTTTTAAATTTTCAAAATAATTTCTTTTAACAATTCAAAGAAATATACAATATGTCAGATTCTGAACAAGAAATCGAGAATCTTTTGACTCAATTTAATTTAACTCATCTTTACAATTCTAATTCAAGAAGTAACAACCAAAATCAAAGATCAACCGTAACAATGAGTGAAAATTTAAAATCAATTGTACAACTTATCAAACCTTTCAGTGGCGAAAGCCAATATTTAGAATATTTCATAAGAAACATCAATGAATTTTATCAAACTTACTATACTGGTGAAAATGCTCAAAAAGAGTATGTGGTTACCGCCATAAAATCAAAATTAATAAATGACGCAGGAAATTTTCTTATGGCACGTCCTGATTTAAAAACATGGACCGATATAAGAGAAGCGTTGAGAATAAAGTATGGTGATCAATATTCTAGACAGAATTTGGT